TCGCCCATCGCCGCCAATACCTCTCTCCAAAAGCCGCTGAAACCCTAGTCCATGCCTTTGTCACCTCAAGTCTGGACTACTCTAACCCACGCCCTCCTCGCCGGTCTCCCATCCACTACCATCCATAAAATTCAAATCATTCAAAACTCTGCCGCCCGCATTCTCACCCGCACGAAACTCTGCTCCCCGATCACCCCAGTCCTGGCCAGACTGCACCGGCTGCCTATCCCAGAGAGGATCGATCTCAAGATCCTCACCCTTGTATTCAAGTCCCTGCACTCCTCTGCACCCCCCGACCTCTCTGACCTCCTCTCTCCTCAAAACAGTACCCGTTGCCCTCGTTCCTCTGGGTCTGGCCTCCTCCTCGTCCCCAGAGTCCTCCGCTCCACCCTCGGTGGCCGTGCCTTCAGCCACTATGCCCCGAGGCTCTGGAACTGCCTCCCTCACTCCCTTCATCTCACTCCCTCCCTTCCCATTTCCAGGTCTCTGCTGAAAACCTTTCTTTTCGACTGTGCCTTTGGTCACCTTCCTCCCCCTGGCTCGGTCCCGGGATCCATTACTGTGAAGCGCTCTGTGACGCCATCCGGCATGGAGGGCGCTATATAAATCCAAGTTGTTGTTGTTGTAAATCTCCTTTGCACTCTCTCCAATGCCTTGACATCCTTCCTAAAGTGTGGGGCCCAGAACTGAACACAGCCTCTAGCTGAAGCCTAACCACTATTTTATAAAGGTTCATCATAACTTCCTGACTCTTGCATATCTATACTCCTATTTACGAAGGCAAGTATCCCGTATTTTAACAGCTTTATCTACCTGTCCTGCCACCTTCAAAGATTTACTTATATGAACTTTAGGGATCAACAAAGGAGAAACAAAAAAGTGATTAAAAGGGAGAAAATTGAATATGAGGGCAAAATAGCGAGGAACATAAACACAGACTGCAAGAGTTTTTATAAATATATAAAGAGGAAGAGGCTGTCAAAGATAAATGTGGGTCCGCTACAGGCAGAGACGGGGGGAATTATAGTAGGGGACAAAGACATGGCAGAGTCATTAAACAAGTACTTTGCTACTGTCTTCACCTTAGAAGATACTGAAAACCTACCAAGAATAGAGGGGAACCAAGAAGACAATGTTAGCGAGCAACTTGGGAATTAATATTAGTAAAGAAATGGCTTTAGGTAAATTGTCAGGTCTTAAAACTCATACATCCCCTGGACCTGATAGTCTACATCCATCCTACAGTTTTAAAAGAGATAGTGAGATAGTGGATGGCTTGTCTTTGATCTTCCAAAATTCTCTGGATTCTGGAATGGTTCCCATTGATTGGAAGATTACAAACGTAACACCACTATTTAAGAAGGGTGGGAGAGAGAAGATGGGGAACTATAGACCAGTTAGTCTGACATCAGTGGGAGGGAAAATTCTTGAGTCCTTAATTAAAGATGTTGTTATGGGATTCCTGGAAGACCATAACAAGATTAGGCAGTCAACATGGCTTTACAAAAGGGAAGTCATGCTTAACTAATCTTTTAGAGTTTTTTGAAGATGTATCTAACAGGTTAGATAGGGGGAAACCAGTAGATGTAGTATATTTAGATTTGAAAAAGGCATTTGACAAAGTGCCAAACAAAAGGCGATTGCACACCTAGGATAAAGCCGACGGGATTAATGGAAGCATATTAGCACGGATTGAAGCGTGGTTAACGGGCAGAAAACAGAGAATAGGGATAAACGCGTCCTTCTCGAATTGGCAGAATGTGACTAGTGGAGTGCCACAAGGATCAGTGCTCGGGCCTCAGCTATTTACAATTTACATCAATGATCCAGACGAGGACGTTGAATGTAACGTATCTAAGTTCGCGGATGACACTAAACTCGGTGGGAGAGTGAGCTCTGAGGATGATGCAAAAAGATTGCAACGGGATATAGATAGGCGAGGAGAGTGGGGAAGTGTGAAGTTATTCACCTAGGTAGAAAAAATAGAAAAACAGATTATTTTCTAGAGGGGGAGAGATTAGATAGTGTGAGTGTTCAGAGGGATTTAGGTGTCCTTGTACACCAGTCTCAAAAAGTTAGTTTGCAGTGCAGCAGCAACTGAGAAGGCGAACGGCATGTTAGCGTTCATTGCAAAAGGTTTAGAGTAAAGAGTAGGGAAGTCTCGCTGCAGCTGTATAAGGCCTTGTGAGACCGCACCGAGAGTATTGTGTGCAGTGTTGGTCTCCTTATTTATAAAAGGACGTACTTGCCCTCGAGGGTGTGCAACGTAGATTCACTCGGTTAGTGCCTGGGATGAGGGGACTGACCTATGAGGATAGGCTGAATAAACGAGGACTGTATTCTCTAGAGTACAGAAGAATTAGGGGAGAACTTATTGAAACATATAAGATTCTTAAAGGGCTGATAAAGTAGTCACTGAGGGTCTGTTTCCCCGGTGGGAGAATCTCTAACCAGGGGTCACAGTCTGAAAATTAAGGGTCAGCCTTTTAGAACAGATTTGAGGAAACATTTCTTCGCTCAGAGGGCAGTGAATTTATGGAATTCACTCCCCCAGAAGGCTGTAGATGTCAGTCCTTGAACATCTTCAAGGCTGAGACTGATAGATTCTTTAAAAAACAGAGGGATTGGGGGATATGGGGAGAGGGTGGGTAATTAGAGTTAGGTCTGAAGATCAGCCACAATCTTATCGAATGGCGGGGCATAGGCTCGAGGGGCCAAATGGCCGACTCCTGCTCCTAATTCTTATGTTCTAACCCCGAGGTCTCTCTGTTCCTTCGTCCCCTTTAAGATTGTACCATCAGCTTATATTTCCTCTCCTCATTCTATCTCCCAAAATGCATCATAGATTCATAGATTCATAGAATGTTACGGCACAGAAGGAGGCCATTCAGCCCATCGAGTCTGTCCCGGCTCTTTGACAGAGCATCACTTTCACTAACCCCAATCACCAACTTTCTCCCCATAACCTTGCAAACCCGTCTTACCCAGATACCTATCCAGTTCGCTCTTGAAAAACTTTGCATTTCTCCACATTAAACTTCATCTGCCATGTGACTGCCCATGTTACCAGTCGGTCTGCGTCCATTTGCAGTCTGATACTGCTCCCTCAATGTTTGCTACTTTTCCTAGCTTAGTATTTTCCTCAAACTTTGAAATTGTACTCCTTATACCCAAGTCCAGGTCATTTACATAGATCACGAACAGCATTGGTCCCAATACCACTGGGTATACCAATACAAATCCCTCCAGTCAGAAAAAGAAACCGTCCACCACCATGCTCTGCTTTCTGTCACCCAGCCACTTCTGTATCTGTGTACATGCACTCCAAGACTGACTGAGTCTGATCTGCATTTCTCCCCTGTCTAAATCCATTTTCTGGACTACTCATTGCATTGCTATTTGTTACTCCGAATCCTGAAAAAAAAAACTTTTTCTCCTCTCTGATGCTACACACAAAGCATCATGGAGTTCCCACATGGCATACATTGTGCATGCAATAGGTTTGCCCTTCCATATTCTCAGACATGTTTTATATTATTTTTATATAAATATTATGTATTTTACAAATATGCACCTCTTTCCCCACTGCACCAAATTCCAACTCTCACCAAATTCCTGCACAGAATTCCCACTCTGTTCCATTTTCACTCAGGTACGTCCTTGCTCTGCTAGGCTCTCTGCTTGAGAACAGAGAAATTTATATATATACTTTTAATTTATGAGTTTTATCCTTCGCCTTTTATTCCAGTTTAGTTTATTTTCCACAATTTATTTAGCACCTTTTGTCCCTTGCTCACACTCCTTAATACTTAACACCTACTTCCCCAGGAATGCATATGAGAAAAAAAAGTTCTGCACCAAATTCCCTCTCTTACATAATTCCCTAACAGAATTCTCACTCTGGTCCACGTCATTCAGTTCCCTCCTCGCCCTGCTGGGCTCTCTGCTCTATCTCAGAGATAAAGACCTCTTTGCACTTGGCATTTAATGATAGGATTGAGGGTGCTTGATGTACGCGTAGGAGTGGTGGGTGGTGGAGAACAGGATTTCGGAGTTATTTTAGGGCTCCAGAATGACCTGCGGGTAGAATGCAGTTTCGGTTTGCGAGAGGGAGCAATGGTTGGTGTGAAAATGCTCAAGCCACAGCTGGCAGTGAAAACTGAGGCCGGTTTTGTGCCATGTACGCTCGAGCAACCGGGTTTAGGATTTGAGGGAACGGAGATAACTATTGTACCAGAGGAAGCAGGTAGGTTTGGAGATGGTCCTGGATTTCAGGGAGACAATGAAATTAAAGGTGGAGCAGAAGTAATTATTTAGCAATCAGAGATGTTAAGAGGCAGAACTTTTATAATACATCAGTAGTGTAACGATCATCCACCTGGACAAAAGGAATGATGTACACCGGGACACTCACACAGCAAAATGGACTGCAGACTGTTATAAATCTCATCCTTCACTCAGCAACAGGAAGGATGATCACACTCTCCCTGTGCTGTATACCCTCCTTGACCAACCGGCAACTTGACCAACTTGCACATTGAGTGAGGTTGACAGTTATTGAAGTGAATGCCTTATACTTCTGAATCAAATGTCCAACATTTTACATATGTGAGTGACTGTCTCACATGCATAATCATGAGGTGACACAAGAGTAAGGTACAGCTGAGAGTACTGCTGAAATCTCACCATATTGGCCCTGTTGGTTGTGATTATATATCATTGTTCACCGGAAGAGTTTTCACAGCCTCTACACAAAGTCATAGTTAACTCTGTATTTGTATTTTTATAATTGGTTTCATTTATAATCGTAGTGGAACAGCATAAGCATAAAGGATTCATCATCAATTAAAATCAAGAACAATGTTGACGGAATGCCGTCACTGTCCTTAGCACTGGGGAACAAGTTAATGTAAAACATTGGAGCTATCGGGAAATGGCAAAGGTTTGGGCGTCTACATCTGTTGTAACTATATTGTGAGGGACAGTGCGCGAGTGATTACCGGCGTTGTTGAGCTGCCGCCATAGAAGGTGACCTGGTGCCAAGTGGCGATGAAGACCCACGTGGCCGAGAACGACGCCTGATCTCTGAAGTTCCTACTGATGTCTCTGGTGACCCTCCGGAGGATGTGGGGCTCAGAGCTCTCCCTGAAGTACACAGTCCCTCGAATGCCATTGTGCACATCGGCCCAAAAGGGCGCCATGAAGGAGCGGCCGTCAGACAGAGGGAAAGCCTCCGGAGTGAACTGACTGACTTGCACATTGAAAGAGATCACTCCATTGTTATTCACCTAAAAAATAGGGAAATGATTTATAAAATTATTCTCTTCAAAAGCAGCTTTACTGCAGAGGATACAGTAACTCACTTTTAAATCGAACGCAACGCATCAGTGGGTTTCACGGGGTCAGTTTCAAGCCAATGATTGAACTCATTAACATTAGAATTTTCAGGATTGATTTTGATATTATTTACATTTTATTTAAAAGGAGAACAACACATTATATCCTCAGCGCCACTGTACTCACGTACAGAGACCTCTGACCCACAGCAAAATACGGAAATGTGACCAAGAGGGGAATTTCGGGGGAACCGCCATCATCCACTTTGGGAGTTTCGGCGTCTGCATTGTTTGTTCCAAACGGATATAACAACTCCGAACAAAAAACTGAAAAAGATAAAACAGAAGATTATTATTGACCTCTGCAAACAGGGAAATGGGAAAAGGAAATGGCCCAAAGTTACTGACCTCCGTCCCGCGTCACTGACACCACCGCACAGAGCCACAGCCACACGGGACCCGCCATCCTGAGAGCACAGAGGGAAATGGGGCACTTTAGCAATAAAACAATGTTCATATTATTCACTGACGTTGCAGTTTATCGAAAGTTTTATGCGACTGAATGTGAATCCACCAAATCCAGATCTAAACTCCAAAGAGCCTCGGCTGTAATTCAACCCTTATTCTCTTAAATAAAAGCATCTTCAGAGCTTCCTCACAATTTTCAAGACCTCAATGACAAATTGTCATTGCAAAGCATCTGAACTCGAGATCCGCATTTCAATCGCCTCCATCCTCACATCTGTGGTTCAGGGCTGAACAGTGGTCCAAACTGCGCCGCTATTCCCATTACTACTCTCTCCCTCTGTCTCCAACCAAAAGCCTAAACAGCTGATCCAATGGGTTGGAACTTTCCCAGTTTCACATCAAATTCCATCTCACCTAAGACTTAAATTATTAAAAAACATAATTTCCCGAGTAGAAAACATGTAATATGGCCGATAAATAAATAGACAGAGAAACAGAAATATGTCACAAACACAAAGGAGGAAGGAAGGAAAGAGAGGAAAGGAAGAAAACATTAATGAACATCAGGAGTGATACAATGATCGCTGCAGCTTCACTCCGGGCACAGAGCGAGAAAGGCAGCGAATAGATGAACTTCCGCACAGGTTGGAAATCAGCAGTTGAGGCACCACATGGAAACCTCTTTTTAGAAATAATAAAACTGCTTTTGGCGGCACCCAATGAGTAAAGGTGCTGCAGACACGTAAACCAACCGATCAAAGGTCTGACTCCCAGTCTGTGTTAAGTTATGTGGCCAAGGGCAGAAATAGAAGCTAAAATGGACACAGTGACCCTGGGTTAGGGTTAGGGTTAGGGTTCGTCAGGGTTCCTAAAAGGTAATCGCTGTCCAAAGGTCCCAAAGGATGTAACGACTTTTACAGCTACACAGTGACATCGACTCCAGCAAGTCACCGTCTTCATGAAAAGAGAGCAGAAAGACAGAAAATTGACAAAAATATTGCGGATTTTTGATGATTACTACAGATCAGGGCTAAATGGCCATAAAGAGATTACTCACGTGTGGTTATATCTTCTGAATTGGTTGAAAGGGAGGAAGGTGGTACAGCTGCCCATACGCAATCAACATCAGTTTCAAAGGTTACCTGAATTCAAAACCTCAGAGTTGGTCCTTTATATAGGTTTAAGCTCTGACGCCTACAGTCAACACTGGTGTTTACTGAGTGCTCCAAAAATAGCAGCGATTTACCAGAGCCCATGGCTGAGCCTCCTGGTGGCACATTGAGAACACATCTCTGTACTGATTGGATCCACGTTTTACTCTAATCGCTTTTAATTACTGCACTACTATTAAATATCCCTAAAACAAATATTGAATATAGCGAGCAGAAATAATTAAATCCTGGACGGCATCACACAAAATTTAATTTCTGCAAATGACTAAAGAACAATTAGAGTTTGAAACACTGACCTGAGCACAACTAAACCCGACCTGCTCTGAGCAGCATTTGCACTCGGTCAAATCCAGTCAATTATTCCAGATTACGAAATTAGTCTGAGAAACCAACATGCTGCAAGAATATAACAGAATAAAAACTGATTTTCTTGCTGATTATCAACTGACGACATGGAATTCAATCAGGGCTGTAACTCAAGACCTGAAGTGCTACTTAAAGTCTGAATGTCTTTCTGAAGAAAATTGCAAATGTTGGAGGGAATCTGAAATGAGAAATCTGGAGCCAAGAATGAGGCAGCTTTTCATCTCATACAGACCAAAGCTTTCACTCTCCAACCAGAGTGGCTCCAGTTTCACTATTTGCATCTCCCTTTCAGACACCAGCACAGGAGAGGCGCTCAAATCTCATCCTCATTAACCAAATAAGTGACAATGATGAATCCAGTCCCAGGCCAAGAGAAAGGTCCCATTGAAGCGAAAAGATTCACAACACAAGAATGATCTCCATTTGAATCCCAAAGATACAAGATATAATTTCCAATGCTAGGAAAGACATCCTGTGCGCATTATCTCCTGTGAGCACCCGGAGCCACGAATACCTACACAACTTCCCATCAAAATCCTTCCATAAACAAACATTCCCAGCTACTAAATTGAAAAGGCTCTGAGAAACTGCAACAACTCAGTAAAATAAATGAGGATTGTTGGCCAAGGCATTGGAAGAAACATCCCTCTCTTTTTGAATGATCTTTAAGAACACAGTTAACCATCTCACATGAAAGACAGCAAATGCAAAACTCTGCTCCTACACTGGGATACTGAGCACAAATGCAACAATAACAACAACAACTTGGATTTATATAGCGCTCTCCACGCCGGACGGCGTCTCAGAGCACTTCACAGTAACGGATCCCGGGGCCGAGGGAGAGGAAGATGACCAAAGGGGCAGTTGAACAGAAAGGTCTTCAGCAGAGACCTGAAAGTAGGAAGAGAAGGGGCGAGGTGAAGGGAGTGAGGAAGGGAGTTCCAGAGCCTCGGGGTGGAGCAGAGGACTTGGGGGACAAGGAGGAGGCCAGATCCGGAGGAACGAAGGCAACGGGCACTGTTTTGAGGAAAGAGGAGGTCAGAGAGGTAGGAGGGTGCGGAGGGATTTGAAGACAAGGGTGAGGACCTTTCTTTTCGACTGCGCCTTTGGTCACCTTCCCCCCCCTCTCCTTGGCTCGGTCCCGGGATCCGAAACTGTAAAGCGCTCTGAGACTTTGTCCGGCGTGGAGGGCGCAATATAAATCCAAGTTGTTGAAGTTGTTGTTGTTGAAATCTTGAAATGCAACCGTGCCACAACAGTTTTGATTCAGAGGGTGAGCTGGATGGTCAGACTGACACACACCAGAAGATAATGTTATCAAATGGTTAAGGGCAGTTTTAAATATGGTTAGGGTAAGCAACATTTAATAGCTGGATGCCTGAAACCTATTGTGCCGGATTCAGTTCAGTTTCAGCTATGGATAAACAAAGTTTATGTCTAGTTTTGGTGTGTGCAATCTCTTGCAGCATGGAAGGGGTATGGAAGGGGTGAGAAACACACCCAAATACCTATGTCTAGATGTTGGTAGAAGTTGGTAGAAGTCAATCAAAAATGCAGAGTGAAGGAAGCCCAAGTAATGGACATTTGGATCGTGGGAGGAATGTTTTGTTTTCCAACATTTTCTGAAAAATTCCATTTCTTTCATTTCTGATTTAACAAGGAAGAATTTAAATCAAACTAAATGGTAGCAAATGACTGTAGCGGATATGAAAAAAACCGCGAATGATTTTAAAACTGAATCTAATTCTATGAAGTAATTCTTCCTCATTGATTTTATTGGGTTTTGTCTGCAGCTGTGCCATCGGGTGCAGTTACTGCAATTTACAGTAAATCTGTAAATCCTCCAATCTGAAAGGATTACAAGGATTATTATAATAGAAGAGTTATCTTGGAGTTTGTTACACACAGAAATAATACAAGCATGTTGGAGTAATAGCCGAGGATTGGAGAAGTGAGAACGATAACCCATTCTATCGTGGGAACGTCGGCTCCTGTTTGACTTGACAAATTGGAGGGAAATTAATCTACAGTTCGCATATTAATGTATCACTGCAAAGGAAAACAGATAGGAAACCTTATATTAGGAAAATAAAGTTCAAGAACATTCATGTTTCTTGGGCCAGGGGGTTATTATCCCCATTGGCTTGGGTTGGAGAGGGAATCCCGCTCTGAATGCAGAATAATTATTTTTAAATTATTCCTCCTATTCCTCTCCAAGGTCCTGGAACAAGTCATTGCTTCCCAGCTCCGCTCCTTTCTCTCTCGCCATTCCCTCTTTGAACCCCTCCAATCCGGCTTCCGTGCTGCCCACAGCATGGAAACAGCCCTGGTCAAAGTCACTGATGACATTCTGAACATCTGTGATCAAGGCTCCCTCTGCCTCCTTGTCCTCCTCGACCTCTCTGCCGCCTTCGACACTGTCGACCACTCCATCCTCATAAACACCTCTTCTCTTTACTTAATCTTCGCGGACCTGTCCTTGCCTGGTTTGATTCCTATCTCTCTCACCCTCTCCACTTTGTTGCCTCTAACGTTTCTCCTCCAGCCCCCACACTGTCACATTTGGTGTCCCCCAGGGCTCTGTTCTTGTCTCCTCTTTAATATCTCCATGGTCCCCCTTGGTGACATCATCCGCAGACATGGAGTCAACTTCCATATGTATGGGGATGACACCCCACTTTATCTTTCTGCCCCCACCCTCAACTCCAGGACCACTGCTGTCCTGACAGACTGCCTGTTGGACATCAAGTCCTGATGCAAACTTCCTACAGTTGAATGTGATTAGACTAAGGGCCTCCTGATTGGCTCACCCCAGCGCCTCAGCACCTCAGGCTCTGGCAGCATCACCCTCCATGGTTGCACACTACAACTCACCAACCAGTCAGGAACCTGGGGGTCTTGTTCGACCCTCAACTATCTTCTTCCCCACATCCAATCCATGACCCGCTCTGCCTTCCCTCACCTCTGTAACATCGTTCGACTCCGCCACTACCTCACCCCTCAGGCCGCTGAAACTCTTGTTCACCTCCAGGCTCAACTGTGCAAATGCCCTGCTTGTCGGCCTTCCCAACTCCTCCCTCCACAGACTGCAGATAATCCAGAACTCTGCAGCCTCTCCTGCACCAAACTCTGTGATCCTGCTCGCCCAACTCCATTGGCTCCCTATCCTTCAGAGGATCCAGTTCAAAATCCTGGTCCTCACCTACAAAGCCCTCAATGGTCTCACCCCATCCTATCTCTGAGACTTCCTAACCCCCTACCAACCTGCCCGCTCCCTCCACTCAGCCGGCTCTGGCTACTCCACGTCCCCCAACCCACCTACCCCACCATTGGTGGGAGAGCCTTCAGCCACTCTGTCCCCAACCTCTGGAACTCCATTCCCCCAATCACTCCGCCTCCTTAGCCTCCTTCAAGTCCCGCCTCAAGACCATCCTCTTCGACCATGCCATTGGTCACAAGATTCCCCAAGATTCCCCTCCCTTCTCGCCCCTGACCCCGGCTCGGGTCTGAAATGCTGTATACTGTCCAGCAACTTGGGACGTCCTCCTGACTTGAAAGGCGCTATACAAATGTAATCTTGTTGTAGTTGTTGTTGTTGTATGAGTAGGTGTTCAGTGCAGAGGGACAGGGATGAAAGATATCATTGAGGAAAGAGCCAGGAGGTTTGGGGGGAAGGGTGGGGGGGTGAGGTAAACTAGGCCGATTTGAGGGAGAGCGAGGAGAGATGGTAGAGGGTGAGGTGCTCAAAGGATGAGAAACAGACAGGGTGCTAGACCAAGGGAAGCTTGATATACAAGCAAAAAAATCATACAACAAATAAACTGAAGTTTGAAAATTTATTGACCATGATTCATTTAATTATACAATACTTCAAAAGTTTTCCCTACAATTTTTCAACCAGTGATTCTAGATTGTATTAAGCTTGATCCCTTAATTGCGTGCAGTATATTTGTAAGATATACTCAGTAATGCAGAGAATTTATTGAAAGAAAAATGGCTTATGTTTTCGATACATAATGAGTTGCTCGTTAACATGCAGGCATGAGACTGTCAGCAGACAGCAATTAGAAATGCCAAGATCAGTGATAGTCCGTCTCAAAGAAAAATTGCAGTTTGGGTCAATCACCAAGCACCACAATTCTGTGGTCACTCACACCAGAGACTGGACACTGACAGTTTGGGCAAGTTGGAGAAGTCTGAGGAAAGCATTACAACATTTAAATGTAACAACGTTATTATACCTATACTGCATAGCGAATAAAACTGGTTCCGTTTGTCTCTAATGCACATTTAGGTATTATGCAGGTCACAGTTATGTACACTATTGTGCAGGTAAGTAACACAATTTTCTGTTCCTCTGCTGCAACTCAGCACCTAAACACAGCATACATGATTTACTTTCTTCCAAGCCTTTGTGCTTTTGCTTTGGGTTAGGGTTATCCTCTTGATTTTTGTTCAAGTGTGTTTGATTTCGGATAAATATTTTGGTTTTGTTTCTGTCTTCAAGCCAACTGTAATGAGATTATTTCGCAACATCTCAAGAATTTATGCATCAATTTTCTGCCAGAGTCCTCAAATCAGTCTGTCCAGTTTGAAATATACCATAAGATTTTTAAACATCTTTCAGATAACAGCCACAAGGCATATTATCACTATCTTGTGCAGAAGGAATTCGGTAATGCAGGGTGGATGCAATGGAACACAGTAATGATTAAATCACAAAAAGAAAAATGGGTTTGGATTGAATCTCGGTAAACACATAAGTAGTTTGGCGTAAATTTGGTCAGTTTTCTGAAAGTACAGGAAAAATATTATTCTTCAAACACATGTGCAATTTTCCACATACAATAGAACAGTCATTTGGGCTGTAACCAGGAAAAGGCATCATGGGACACTGCATTCGTTTCATCCTCTCCACAGCATTAGGCTAGTTCTGAACCAGAATCAAATTCTGTGATTGACATCAGTGATAATTGTTTAACTGAGTAACAGATAATAATAATCCTTGAATTTGATATAGCGCTTCGAGACGTCTCAAAGCGCTTCACAGAATATACTGTAAAGTAAATTGACTGTATTTTTGTCGGCGAAACTCGGCAGCCAATTGCACACAGCAGCGTCCTATAAATAGTCTTAGATTGAAGTGACCAAACTATTATTATTCTTTTTCTTGAGGGATTATTATCAGGTGTGTGGAGTAAGGAAACTTGCCTAAGGTTTCACCCTGCCGGGAATCAAACCCGGGTCTCTCGCTTATGAGGCAAGTGCTCTAACCACTGAGCTACAGGATACCACAGGATTACAGATCATCTCACTGACGAACCAGGATAACCATACAAGCTAAACTCTCCAGCAAGGGAGGCAATTACCTACCCCTTGGGCTGCTTCAATACACATTGCACAGCAATTAGACCAGATTTTTTGTTTGTTTTCCAGTGAAATGCACCTTCTGCATGTTACAATACAGTTTACATTTATACAGTGCCTTTTACATTGGAAGGTCATCTCAAATCATGTAACACTGCTGGGTGGGCATTTAACATAGCAGTGAGCGGTGGGGGGAGAGATGACCAAGCCAGGTTTTGAAAAAGAAATTGAGGGACTGTGGGATGCCAATTCCTGAACTCAGTTTCAAGTAAAACAAGAATACAAATAGCTTCATGGCCTTAATCGAAGCAAATATTACAAACACTGTGCAGTAATAAAGGATAAAGTTACCAGCGTTCAGCTACTTAAGAACATAAGAATTTGCTGGCGAAAGAAGACCAAGGTCCATCTAGTTCGCCTTCCACCATCTTGGTAGTCGTTTGACATGTCTTGTCCCAAACTGTATAAGAACATAAGAATTTACTTGGAATTAAACAGACACACTGGCTTTAACCCCAGCTTTGTGAACCTCATACAATGGTCCGTGGCTGTGGGATACAGCGAGAAGCAAACTAATAAATAATTATTTTCCCAATTATCATTATACAATACTTGATGTCAACAATTACCAGAGTCTGATGCAGGCGCTGGGCGATGTACTAGGGTGAATCACACAGACATCTCCATATTGTTCACACAATCTCTTTCTTCATTTATGGCAGGAACTTCGATCTTTGTTGTGAATTAGTTAACTGGTAACCACAAGTTGGATTACTCACTCCTTTCATTAATAGCTGTATAATGTGTATAATGCACAAATGTGACCCAGGAACACTTTCATAAACAAACAAAATACTTGTGTAAAAAGTGCAAAGATTGTGAGTACATTCACACTATTTTGTTTTTGGTACTACATGAATCTCATCTCCATCACGGATACTGTATGAGTGAAGAGCTCGTGTGTTGAATTTCATTTCTTCTGGTCCGAAAGCCTCAGCCACTTCTTTGTCTATGTAGTATAACCGCATGTTGGCTGTAGCTAATTGTACAACAGTTCGAAGCTGCTTCTTTAGATCGGCCACTGTATGATCCAGGCTAATATTCACAACCTCAACTTTCCCTTCAAAATGAACTTCAACCTTAGCACGGCTCTGAGGTCGAAGGTCAACTTCGGCCAATGGCTCCAGCTTGCCATAATGTTTCACCAGCTCATGGTACCTATAAAATAAATTTGAGGGAGGCTCATGTCAGGGTAAAGCAGATCATTCCCAAAGCTCCTCCTCAGTATAGGTATACCAACTACTCCCCTTAAAGGGTATCGAGGAACCAATCTTTTACGCGTTTCGTCTTTTCATCTTTTCCAGTGTAGCTGCTTTTGTCCCTTTCTCCTGATTCAGTTGCTGAAGAGAATTTCATTAAAAAGTGAGGCATCATCATTCACCTGTGTACTCTGGCCCCTCCTGACCCTGTGCTCCAGCAGAGCTAGGGCCTTGCTAAGCTCTCAGATTCTCAAAGTAACAGTTACCAAGAGCCTCAGAAAATCACAGACATTTGCAAATGTACTCGCTGACAGCTCAGTGACAAGGCCCATACTTGTCACTGGGTCTGTGAGAAGTGCCTCACAGATAGTTGTGAAGAATATTGGAAAATAAATAGACACCGAGGAAAGCCCATGAGATATAAGGAACAAAGTTGAGAAATTAATTAGGGAACAAATTGGAACAGTAAAAGAACACAAGAATAAATTGCTCCAGACTTACGCACCAATAACATAATGGTGACAGCAGACATTCGGTGTCCAAATACAATACAAAATTATATTTTTATAGCGTCTTTCACGTCAGGAGGACGGCCCAAGGTGCTGGACAGTCAGAGATTTGGACCCGAGATGTGGGTCAGGATTGGGGAGGGTGGAGGGCAGGAGGGTGGTTGAAGGCGTAATCGAAGAGGAGAGTTTTGAGACGCGCCTTGAAGGAGGCAAGGGAGGGAGTGAAGTGAAGGGAGTGTGGGATGGTGTTCCATAGGGTGAGGGCAGAAAGGCTGAAGGCTTGATCACTAATGGTAGGGTGGGTCAGATTGTGGATGTGGAGCAGGTCTGCTGAGGGGAGTTAGCAGACAGGTTGATATGGTGTCAGCAGGTCGCAGAGGTAGGGAGGGGCAAGGCTGTGGAGGGCCTTGAAGGAGAGGACGAGGATTTTGAATTCTATCCTCTGGGGGATAGGGAGCCAGTGGAGCCGGGCAAAGGTGGGGCAGATGGGGTCACGGAGCCTGGTACGGGAGAGGATTCAAGCTGCATAGTTCTCGGTGATCTGCTGATGATGTGTGGGGCAGAAAGGGCAGTTGAGGGTCAAACAAGAAGCTAAGGTTCCGGACTGGCTCAGTGAGGTGAAGTGTGCATCCCTGGGTGGTGATGCTGTCAGTGTCTGAGGTGTGGAGCCGTTGACAGGAGTCAATCAGGAGAGTCTCGGTCTTGTTGACGTTCAACTGTAGAAAGTTAGCTCTCATCCAGGACTTGATGTCTGACAGGTATTCCGTCAGGACAGCAGTGGGTCCTGGAGTCAAGGGTGGAGGCAAAGAGGTGGAGTTGGGTGTCATCCGCATAAATGTGGAACTTGACCCCATGTCCTCCCGACGTGAAAAGCGCTGTATCAAATGCAAGGATTATTATTATTATTATGTCTGCGGATGATGTCACCAAGAGGAAGCATATTGATCGGGCAGACACAAATGAGCAATGGTGACATAGTAGAGCATTAGCACTAAGACCAAATAATTGTGGCCAGATTATGTACCCAAAAGCACATCAGGTTTCTGGAAAGGCAAACTGCTGTAGCCAGTCTTCACTGGTAGTACTTTACAATTTAATTCTACAAAGCAATGAGTTATTAGAAATGAAATAAACTCAGCATAAGGCTATGCTTAGCCCAGTCATTCTTCGTAGTACATGGTATGCAACGAGGCAATAAACAAGCCTTCATATTGTTAGCTCTAATTTATCACTACATAAATGGGTCAAAGCATAATTCTGCACATAACAAATTAATTTGCATTTATGAATGGGGCAGCATTTTAAATAACAATAATTGCAGAATTAGCTAGATGAAAGTTCAAATCCATTAGATTGTTTACTGTGAGAATCAGAGTCTGCAAGCTGTCTAATCAGGCAATATGAGCAGTGTATGGGAGAGGGAGGTGGACAAGCCAGGAACAGAGAACTGTTGTTTAACAAGAACATTCCAGCACCTGAGTGAATCTCCTGAGATGAGTCCCAGACTGGCTTCACTTTCACTCCAGCAGTCGTTCATTTTCACTCACTGGCCATTTTAGACAATGTGGCCGTTCTTTCCAACTCAAAATGGGAATGATTAGAGACTGAAATGATACCTCAATAAGAAGCAATTCCAATTCTGTGCAAACCCACTTAGACCTTTGGCTTGTTGCCATGTTCCCAGCGCTCTGTCCTCTACCTTAATCCCAGCACTCTCTCTACGACTATTTCTCGTACTAACTTTCCACCGCCATCACCTCAATGAGAAGTACAAAGATTCTCTGCCTCTCACATGGAATGACTCAATCTCACAATAACATGTGTAACCCAACCCTGGACCCCAGAGCCCAGATGCTCACTGCTTATCCTGAAAATAGTTCAAACTAAATCAAGGTTTTTCGCTGAAAAAATTAACAAAATGCAACATAAATAGATTTGATCCTTTACTCCGGTATTTACATAGACAAAAGCAGCAGCTGGACCCATGAATTAACAATCTTTTATCTATCGAGTGGGAATCATGTGGCAAGTCTCCTCTCCAAGTTCTGGCTATTTTCTTGAAACTTAAAAAGAGTCATTTAAAGCTGAAGTGGTGTAACCAAAATCCTAACCTGCTACATTCAAGCTTCCTATTATTTGTTGGAATACTAAACCCACTCTGTGGCAAGTTCCAATCTGATAAATTTACAAATATCTTTATCAGTCAATCTGATCAATTAAGCATTTCTTCATTGAAGAAACCAGAGATGCTCCAAAGGTCCCAGACTATCTATGGAAATTGAGAAAAGCCACTAGTCATATTCCTAAGGTTAAATGCCAAGCAAAAGGCGCTGACGTGCTGTGTATGACAGAGTTTCACAATGAATGCACCTTTGTACAGTGATACAAAGACTCACAGCTGCAATGTCATTGTTACGGGATCTGGGCTCATTAGGGTGCAATTACTGAAGCACCAAATTTAATAAAGAGATGAGTTGTTCAGTATTCTGCTCCATAAAAAAACCAAAACTTGTAAAGGTTTATTTTCCAGGTATGAGAGCGTAAGTGCAATACAGATTACACCAAACTAACCATCACTGTGAGATATAACTGCTCAGTAAAAGCAGATTTAATCTAGGAAACAATTTCATTTAAAAAGCATTTTTTGCATATTTAGTTGGTTTGCTGGGGGATATTAGTTTGCAATGGGGAAAAAAACTAACTTGGTGAAGAAAACACTGCCACAATTTAAGTCAGAGGAACTACTTGACATGTATTTAGATGTACTACTACACTTAATTCCATAGATCTGTCAGCTGGATACACTGATTTTATTGCCTCAGAAAAAACAGGTCCCCCGAATTTAGATATGAGGAAGATTTTACTTGTTTAGGCTTATTCTTTCTCTGGAATTGCTGATACTCATTTGGAATCTTGCCTTATATAAATCATCTTTGAACCATGTGAGTTGTGGCCAGGGTTTTGCTGGCTGGCTTCGCACTTATTTACTAGCTGCAAAATTTGCAAACTGGAATCAAACATTACATTAGGTTTTACACCGCAATATACATTTGTGAAAAGGGTAATTTTGCTGTTCTGTTACCTAGTGTTTTCAGAATTCATAGAAGAATCACTTACCTATCTGGTAGCTCTTCATCGGGGCCATTCATGTAGTAACGTATAAAGAATCGTTCGGCATCAACTCTTTCTCCTTCTGTAATTTTGCTGCCATTCAACACCCCAATAGATGGCAACCTGGTCAGAATAATTAGGAGTTTTATAGTTTAACACATTCACAATTTGCTAAAGAGGGACGTGGAGTCCTGTAGCTCAGTGGTTAGAGCACTCGCTTTGCAAGCGAGAGACCTGAGTTCAATTCCAGGCAGAGGGCGAAACCTTGGGCAAGTTTCCTTACTCCACACAGAGCCTAATAATAATCCCTCCAAAAAAACAAAAAACAATAATAAAATTGGTCATTTTCAATCTACGACTGTTTGTGGGACATTGCTGTGCGCAATTGGCTGCCGCGTTCGCCCACAAATATACAGTCAATTCACTTTACAGTGTGTTCTGTGAAGCGCTTTGGGACGTCCTCCCGACGTGAAAAGCGCTATATCAAATGCAAGGATTATTATTATTATTATCATAAAATTCACTGATTTGTCTTCATTAATGTAAGAAATTAAAACCGTGCATTGTTGAAGATTTTATTCCCTTTATTATATCCTTATAATAAAATTTGGGTGGAGGAAAAGGACAAGGTAGGCTGAGAGACAGGAAAGAGGCTTGGGAAAAGGATAGAAGATGGCGATGGATACCTTGCTATGATGAGACTGCGTCGTTCTTCCTCAGAATAATGCTGCAGTAAAGGGATTCCCAGTAGCCGGACTTCTTCCAGTTTAGGGAATAGGTTGAGTTTATCAATGTCCTCCCAGGAATTGAGTCCTGTTGGAGCAAAACCAGAGAAACACAGAATTCCACGTGGACTTCTTTACAAGATAAGGGCCCTAAACTCCATAATAGCGCACTCTACGCAGAGAGACAGTGTCAGAGCATATATTTAAGTGCTCTGAGATGCTACCCTGCAAGAAAGGGGCTATATAAGAACATAAGAATTAGGAGCAGGAGTAGGCCATTCAGCCCTTCGTGCCTGCTCCGCCATTCAATAAGATCATGGCTGATCTTCTCACCTAACTCTGATTACCTGCCCTCTCCCCATATCCCCTAATCCCTCTATTTTTCAAGAATCTATCAGTCTCAGCCTTGAAAATGTTCAAGGACTGAGCATCTACAGCCTTCTGGGGGAGTGAATTCCATAAGTTCACTACCCTCTGAGTGAAGAAATGTTTCCTCAACTCTGTTCTAAAAGGCTGACCCTTAATTTTAAGACTGTGACCCCTGGTTATAGATTCTCCTACCGGGGAAAACAGTCCCTCTGTGTCTACTTTATCAGCCCTTTAAGAATCTTATAAGTTTCAATAAGTTCTCCCCTAATTCTTCTGTACTCTAGAGAATACAGCCCTAGTTTATTCAGCCTATCCTCATAGGTCAGTCCCCTCATCCCAGGAACTAACCGAGTGAATCTACACTGCACCCCCTCGAGGGCAAGTATATCCTTTTTTAAATAAGGAGACCAAAACTGCACACAATACTCTCGGTGCGGCCTCACCAAAGCCCTATACAGTTGCAGCAAGACTTCCCTACTCTTATATTCTAAACCTTTCGAAATAAACGCTAACATGCCGTTCGCCTTCTTAGTTGCTGCTGCACCTGCAAACTAACTTTTTGGGACTGGTGTACAAGGACACCCAAATCCCTTTGAATACTAACACTATCTAACTTCTCCCCTTCCAGAAAATAATCTGTTCTTTTATTCTTGCTACCTAGGTGAATAATTTCACACTTGCTAACATTGAATTCCATCTGCCACCTACTTGCCCACTCCCCGAGCCTATCTATATCTTGTTGCAATCTTTTTGCATCATCCTGAGAGCTCACTCTGCTGCCGAGTTTAGTATCATCCGCGAATTTAGACACATTACATTCAATGTCCTCGTCCAGATCATTGATGTAAATGGTAAATAGCTGAGGCCCAAGCACTGATCCTTGTGGCACTCCACTAGTTACATCCTGCCAATTCGAGAATGATCCGTTTATCACTACTCTCTGCTTTCTACCCGATAGCCACTCTTCTATCCATGTTAATATTTTCCCATTAATCCCGTGGGCCTTGATCTTGAGTAACAGCCTTTTGTGTGGCACCTTGTCAAATGCCTTCCTAAAATCCAAATATACCACATCTACTGGTTCCCCCTTATCCAACCTGCTGGATACATCCTCAAAAAATTCTAAAAGGTTAGTCAAGCATGACTTCCCTTTTGTAAAGCCATGTTGACTCTGCCTAATCTTTTTATGGTCTTCCAGGTATCCCATAACTACGTCTTTTATTAAGGACTCAAGAATTTTCCCTACAACTGACGTCAAACTAACTGGTCTATAGTTTTCCCTATTTTCTCTCCCACCCTTCTTAAATAGTGGAGTTACGTTTGCAATCTTCCAATCAATGGGAACTTTTCCAGTATCCACAGACTTTTGGAAGATTATAGACATGCCATCCACTATCTCAGTAGCCACCTCCTTTAAAACTCTCGGATGCAGGCCATCCGGTCCAGGGGATTTATCGGTTTTAAGACCCGACAATTTACCTAGAACCATCTCTTTACTAATGTTAATCTCCCTAAGTTGCTCGCTAACATTGTCTTCTTGGTCCTCTATTTTTGGTATGTTTCCAGTGTCTTCTACGGTGAAGACTGTAGAAAAATACTTGTTTAATGACTCTGCCATGTCTTTGTCCCCTATTATAATTCCTCCGGTCTCTGCCTGTAATGGACCCACATTCACCCTCGCTCGCCTTTTCCTCTTTATATATTTGTAAAAACTCTTGGAGTCTGTTTTTATGTTCTTTGCTAGTTTGCCCTCGTAATCTATTTTCTCCCTCTTGATCAATTTTTTGGTCCTCCTCTGTTGTTCCCTAAAGTTCTCCCAATCCTCGGGTTTACTACTCATCTTCGCTGTTTTATAGGCTTTTTCTTTTGATTTGATACTTTCCCTAACTGCTCTAGTTAGCCATGGCTGCACCACCTTTCCCGTGGCATTCTTATTCCTCAAAGGAATATGTGCTCGTTGGGAATTTTGCACTATCTCCTTGAATGTCTGCCATTGCTGGTCTACCGTCAAATCTTTAAGTTTAGTCTCCCAGTTTATTCTGGCTAAATCCTCTCTCATACCAGCAAAGTTGGCTCGATTTAAATTGAAGACTTTTGCTTCAGACTTAACTACTTCCGTCTCTAACTTAACGCTAAATTCCATCATATTATAATCGCTTTGCCCGAGAGGAGCCTTAAGTTCCAGTTTGCTGATCAGCCCTGTTTCATTACACAAAACAAGGTCTAATATAGCTTGTTCCCTGGTCGGCTCCTCAGCACATTGATCTAGAAAATTATCTCTAATACATTCTATAAACTCCTCTTCTATGTTACCTTTCCCAATTTGGTTGTCCCAGTCTATGTGCAGGTTAAAATCACCCACAATTAATGTCTTTCCTTTGCTACATGCTCCACTAATCTCTTGATTTATACCTTGAGCGATACTTTATGACCACTGTTTGGGGTTCTATAAACTACTCCCACTATAATAATAATAATAACAATCCTTGCATTTGATATAGCGCTTTTCATGTCGGGAGGACGTCCCAAAGCGCTTCACAGAACACACTGTAAAGTGAATTGACTGTATATTTGTGGGCAAACGCGGCAGCCAATTGCGCACAGCAATGTCCCACAAACAGTCATAGATTGAAAATGACCAATTTATTATTGTTTTGGGTTTTTGGAGGGATTTTTATTAGGCTCTGTGTGGAGTAAGGAAACTTGCCCAAGGTTTCGCCCTCTGCCTGGAATTGAACTCAGGTCTCTCGCTTGCAAAGCGAGTGCTCTAACCACTGAGCTGCAGGACTCCACTATAGTTTTCTGCCCCTTGAAGTTACGTATCTCTACCCATACTGACTCTACATCTTGCTTTTCAGATTTAAAATCTTTCCTCTCTACTGTTTTTATCCCATCCTTTATTAGCAGGGCCACTCCCCCTCCTCGGTTACCACATCGCCTATCTTTCCTATATACCACGTAGTCGGGAATATTCAGTTCCCATCCCTGATCACCCTGTAACCATGTCTCGGTGATGGCTACGAGATCATACCGGTTTGTTTCTATTTGTGCAACTAATTCATCTATCTTGTTACGAATGCTTCGTGCATTCAGATATAGCGCCCTTAATTCTGACTTCCGGCTATTAACCCTATTCACCATCACTGTACTTCCTTACCCTGCTTGACACACTTTGCTCCTCTCCCTTGTTAATCTGCTCTCTTGCTTTTGTTGATCTCAAGTTTAACTGTGGTGGACTACACTTTACTATGTTTTCACCCCCCCCCCCTTAGTAGTTTAAAGCCCTTTCTACCTCCCTATTTATTCACGTAGCCAGGACATTTGTCCCAGCCCTATTTAGGTGGAGCCCATTCCTTTGGAAAAGCTCCCATCTTCCCCAATACTCGTGCCAGTGGCCCATGAAATGGAATTCCTGCTCTCCGCACCACTCATTCAGGCCAGGCATTCAGATCTATGATCTTCTTTTGCCTGTACCAATTAGCTCCTGGCTCAGGTAACAGTCCCGATATCATCACTTTGGAAGTTCTATTCCTTAGTTTAATTCCCAATTCCCGGAACTCGCTCCTTAACTCATCCCTACTGGTCCTACCAATGTCATTGGTCCCTATATGTACCATTACGATTGGATTCTCTTCCTCATGCCTCAAATTTATCTCCAGCCCAGCGGTGACATCCTTCACCCTGGCCCCAGGAAGACAACAGAGTCTTCTTGTCTCCCTGCTACGGCTACAGAAAACTGTATCAGTCCTCCTGACTGTCTCATCCCCAATAAGAATTACATTTTTAACCTCCTGCACAGGGGTGTTGAGGTCAGTTTGCCCGTCTTCCTCGCAGATTTCCTTGTCCACACAGGTTGCCAATATTTCATACCTGTCAGACAAGGCTAAAGTCTGGGATTCTTCAGCCCCTCTCTTTCAGGAACGCTTGCCTGCCCGCCTGACTGTCACCCAGTCATGTACGTCGCTGCTACATTCTTCTTCCTTGGGACTCAGGGGAGTGTCCGGCTCCAGGATAAAGCTGTCCAGGAAGTTTTCTCCATCCCTAATGCTGCGCAGCGTCTCCACCTGAGACTCCAGCTCAGCTACTCTCAGCTGGAGCTCTCTGATTTCCAGACACTTGCGGCAGATTAAGTCGCCCGGACTTAAGGCGCCCTCCATTGACTCCCACATGTGACAGACCTCACAGTTTACCTGCCACACCATCTTCACAAACTTTATATAGATACAAAGATATATAGCCTGCCCCCACTTCCCCCTCTGCACCTAATTCCCACTCTCACCAAATTCCCTCACACTCTGGCCTCACCTCACTCCGGACGTAGCTCGCTCTCGGCTCGAGTGAGGCTCGCGCAGCTATCTCCTATTTATACTTTCTGGGTGCAACCCGTTTCTGATTTGCTCAGCAGTGATTTGGAATTAACGCCTAGTCAAGTGATTCATCAATAAGTTAATTTAATCAATAAGTTATTTGTTATTGGCTAGGCTTAATTGGCTACAGCTGCTCCCTGTAAAGTTACCCCACAAGACCAATGTACCAATGGTATCAGCAATTTTAAATAACACAAGACTTAAAACAACTACAACAACTACTACAAGACTTGAATAACAACAACAACAAATCGGGTTATGTACTCACGATAGCAGTTTTCACGACACTCACAGCAGCAATTCCCACTCTCACCAAATTCCCTCACACTCTGACCTCGCCTCACTCCGGACGTAGCTCACTCTGGGCTCGAGTGCAAGTTGTTGTTGTTGTTGTTGTTGTATTACACATATCCACATACATGATATATATGTATACCATACATGATCATACATCCACATATATATGTACCATTATAGACATCTCTTTCCATACAGATGCACAATGTAAACACACTTAAGAGCTTGAGACACAGATATAATATGGTCCAGTTCTGGCTCATACCTGAGTTATGGAGATTTATCGACCGTAGATTTTGAAAAAGCTGTGCTACATCTCCCTGGGAATCTCCAATGCTGGTTAGGTGATTGTTTGCCAGGATTAAGGTCCCCAGACCTGGGAACATCTGGCCAAGTTTGTGGATCTCGGCCCAATCACTGAAATTATTATCAGTGATGTGTAGCAGTCGAAGTGATTGGTAGGAGCAGGGGGACAGGGAGACTGTCCTGTAATCATTGAGGCACAGGAAGAGTTCCTCTAACCTGCAAAGAGGAAAGGGGAGGGCAAAGAGAAACAAAGTCAGGAGAGAAGAGAGTAAAAGATGGGAGAGAGGATGGAGGGAGAAAGAGAATCGGGAGAGGATGGAGAAAGGGAATAGGAGAGAGGATTTAGAGGGAGAAGAGACATGTGACAAGAGAAAACGGATGTCAGACCAAATGAATCGTTGGTGAAGAAAAAGGGTATTGAAACTGTCAGTTTTTTATAATAATCCTTGCATTTGATACAGCGCCTTATCACGTCTTCGAGATGTCTCAAAGCTCTTCACAGAATATACTGTAAAGTGAATTGACTGTATATTTTGTGGGCGAAAAGTAGCAGCGAATTGCGCACAGCAGCGTCCCATAAACAGTAGTGGATTGAAGTGACCAATTTTTTTTTGAAGGAATTATTATCCACAGAAAAGTGATCTGCCAATCGACTAACAACTAGGTTCCTACTTACTGCTAGGTAAACAGAAGCGTGTGAAGTAAGGAAACTTGCCCAACATTTCGCTCTGTAGGGAATCAAACCCAGGTCTCTCGCTTGCGAGGCAAGCGGTCTATCCACTGAGCTACAGGACTTTTTTCCCAAATAGATGAGACGTACAAACAATTCAATTAGTTATAGCTTTTTCATGACAATGTAAATCTTCATAAACGTCCTCTCAAAAGAAATGGGTTTGGATTGGGACAGTTTTATTACTGTATAAAAGCAAGATCCTCATCCTCACCTACAAGGCCATTCACGGCCTTGCTCCCTCCTACCTCTCCGACCTACTATCCCCCTACCTACCTGCCCGTACCCTCCGTTCCTCTGGCTCCGGTCTGCTCCACGTCCCCCGCCCCAACCGCCCTACCATCGGTGGTCGGGCCTTCAGCCTCTCAGCCCCCAGGCTCTGGAACTCCATCCCCCAGTGCCTTCGCCGCTTCCTCCCTCTCCTCCTTCAAGGCCGGTCTCAAAACCTTTCTCTTTGACCGAGCCTTCAGCTCCCCTCTCGACTCTCTTCCCCCTCCTCGCTCCCTCCCTTCCCTCCCCTTACCCTGACCATTTCCCCCTCCTCGCTCCCTCCCTTCCCTCCCCTCACCCTGACCATTTCCCCCTCCTCGCTCCCTCCCTTCCCTCCCCTCACCCTGACCATTTCCCCCCTGCTCGGGTCATGACCCAACTGTGCAGCGCCTTGGGACGTCCTCCTGACGTGAAAGGCGCTTTATAAATGGAATCTTGTTGTTGTTGTTGTTGTACAGAGAAACATTTCTGTAATTTCTAAGATCATGTGTTTTTAAGCTGCATTTGTGGGACTGATTTCAGATACAAAATTAAACAATCATAGTGCTATCTAGCTCAGGACATTGAGATATTTAACACATGTTAATAAAGATAATAAGAACACCTGAACAGGAAAGAAAGAAAAATCTAGAATGAACATCACCTGCAATATTTGTGTAAAATTCATATTTATTACAAAGTAACATCAAGGGTTTGTCATGCATATAACTGATTTCATACAGACCAAGAAGTCGTGATTACTACCCTGTTATCTAAAAAGAATCATCATTTCCTTAAGACTTGTAACTGTATCTCAACTTTGTCACCCTCTACATCTGACAGCAGAATACTCGCAACAGCATTAAACTATACTGAATATAAAACAAATTTAAAATCTGCTTTCTACATATCCAGTACCAGGAACGTATGAACTTTAGGAGATACGAGTGGAATATTCAAGTGAATGAATATTAAACATAGAATGAACTGTTTAATAGATTATCGTCAGCAGTCAGGACACAAACTTAGAGCAGATCACACGTTTAAAATGCCCTTCATTATTTCACACTCAATAGTTTAAAGGTTACTAAAACAAAAGTGACATCAGACAGTCAATGTTGTACCACATTATCCTGTGAGTCTGAGGTTTTTTACATATTGTCTTAGGATGTGGATGACACTGAAAGTTATTGCCTATTGCTGGTTGCCCTGAAAAGGTGGCAATAAGCTACAGCAACTCAAACACATTTCCTTTGGATTGCTGGTCAGTACACCACCGTGCTGCATTGGAGACACAGTGAATGTGAGTGTTTGAGAGTTTCAGAGAGTGAGTGTCAGTTTGTAGGAGGACAGTGAATACAGGAAACAAACTGCACAGAGTCAACATTTGCCACCAAGCAGTTAGGAAAAGGAAGAATAAGGAAACATTGAATCTGAATAGGACATTGGTTCGAACACAGCTGGAATATTGTGTGCAGCTTTGGGTGCCACATTATAGAAAGGATATTAGAACTCTAGAGAGGGTGCATTTTATGTTGATGAGGATGATAAAAATATTTACTGCATTTGACTAAATGCCTTTCACACCAGGCAGATAACTCAAGAGTGCTTTTCAGGATTTACTGTAATATGTGGCGACTGTATTTTGTAGGCGAACGTGGCAGCAATTTGCACAATATCTGCACAAACAGCCGTGAAATGAATGACCAATTTTATTTAGGGGATTGTTGACCAGGATACCGGAAGAAACTCCCTTCTCTTTTCAATTAGTGCCATGGGATTTTTAACATCTATCTGAGCAGGCAGACAGCTCTACTGCCCACCGAAGTACAGTGTTTCTGACAATGCAGTGGCCCTGAAGGAGGCAAGGGAGGAGAATGGAATTCCAAAGGGTGGGGGGGAAAAGTTGAAAGCCCAACTGCTCATGATGGCCAGTGGATGGGGGAGAATGTGGAGCATGTGAATGCTTGCCGAGCGGAGGGTAGCAGACAGATTGGTAAGGGTTCAGTAGGTCAAACTTCTGACTCAGAAATAAGAGTGTTACAACTGAGCCAGGTTGGCATCTAAATACCAGAGATGAAAGATTATAACTGCGAGGAAAGGCAATAGGGGTTGGAACTATTTCTTAGCATATGTAGAGGAAGGTTATTGGAGGATACAGGGAAAGAGCAGGGGACTGGAATGAGTATGGATGATTTCTTGGAGAACAACAAATTGCATTTATATAGTGCCTTTCATGATGGAAGAACGTCCCAAGGCATTGAAAAATCACCAACACGACAAAATAGGTGTCCTTCTGTATCTTAAATATTTTGGTTCTATGCAGAGCTAGAAAAGCTATGGACAGGAAGATGGTTAGTTCTCAGGCCCTACCCTGGTAACTCCTGCAGCAGCGTATGAATTGTTTCCCACGAGGCTTTGGTGTTGTTGAGAACCAGTTTCTGTATTCGAGAGAAAGTGGCCGCGCACGGCGACTCCAGGAGGACTTGACTCAAAGGGTTGGACATGAGGTTCAGAAATGTCAGTTGAGGAAGATTTGATACAATTTTACTGATCTGTAAAATACAAAAATGGAAGAGTAGCACAACATGAATGTTACACAAACATTCCGTGTGCCAATTTACTACTGATAGACAACAAGGGGCATGGACTGAACCCAATCCAACAATAATGAAGAGACCAGCGCCAACAGGTGAAGCCACGCCCTCTCCCATTGCTGCCCTGGCTGTTGCCGCCCTTCATACAACAAGGCAAGAAGGTTAACAGTAAATGCTGCACTTATGGCAACTTTACGCCATTAGGTTCAGCAGTAATTCAGCAGACAGTTGTAGGTTACTTTTAGCCCTGTGCACTCTCTTCCCCCCTGCGCCCACCCTCCGCAGCAACCTTTAATGATCAAGCAAAACTCTAGCCGATGTGTTGGAAGAAGCTGCCATCAGGAGTAATGAACACCTCTATAATAATAATAATAATAATAATCCTTGCATTTGATATAGCGCTTTTCACGTCGGGAGGACGTCCCAAAGCGCTTCACAGAATAGACTGTAAAGTGAATTGACTGTATATTTGTGGGCGAACGCGGCAGCCAATTGCGCACAGCAATGTCCCACAAACAGTCGTAGATTGAAAATGACCAATTTATTATTGTTTTTGGTTTTGGAGGGATTATTATTAGGCTCTGTGTGGAGTAAGGAAACTTGCCCAAGGTTTCGCCCTGCCTGGAATTGAACTCAGATCTCTCGCTTGCAAAGCGAGAGCTCTAACCACTGAGCTACAGGACTCCACAGGACTTTCTGAATTTCTTTTGAATTTTATATAGAGACAGTAAGTGCTAACAAAGTCAGTGGTCCATTTGCTGTACCTTCCCAGCCAGTTTACCTGCTATTATTATTAATAAACAACCAATGACTAAACCTTTCTTTTTGCAAACTAGAGAGAAATATACAAGAAGAACATGAAAGCGAATGTATCTCTAGGGTCCCTTAAAAAGGGTCCCGATGGAGCAGCTCTTTCTTTAGTATGGAAAATCAGATCTTTTATTTTAACAGTAAATTTGAAGTAGAGATGCAATCGGCTGCTACCACACTCACATTACAGCTAGTGTGAACTTTACCATTTCAAACATCCAACCACAAATAATTAAATATATTCTATGGATTTTAAATATTTACACTCTCTTGCTTGTTTTTACACCTCTGAAGCTTGTTTTTGATAAAGCAGTACTATTGACTAGACACATGGGAACAAAGCATGTTCTATCGTTTTATTAGATACTGCAGATATTTTGATCACATTGTCTCATCCCTTTCACCTTAGTACTTATACTACCCAAGTATCTACATATTTTTAAATAGCCCAAAGGTTTCTGAATCTTCAACCTTCTGGTTCAGTATATTCCGCATTTTCAAAACCCTTTGTGTGAAGATGCATTTTCTAATCTCACTTTAACTGTTTTAACATTAAATTTAAGATTATACCTCCTTATCTTGCTTGTCAATTTCCATCATTATTTTATATATTTCAATTGGATCACCCCTTAACCCCTTACAACATACAAATGATGGGCTCAAGAAAATATAACCTGTTTACCTAGCCTCTTATCATCTAAGACCCTTTATCCCAGGTATTAATGATGCACTCCACTAGAGTGCATTATCACTAGATGCAGACCAAGACAAATTTTTCTTAAAATTGGGTGCCCCAAACTAGTGCAACTAAATGACGCGTGACTGCAGAACTAACTGCAGAATTTTCTTGCTTTATATTATACTGTTATACAGCCAGCTAATAATAATAATCCTTGTATTTCATATAGCGCCTTATCATGTCTTCGAGACGTCTCAAAGCGCTTCACAGAATATACTGTAATGTGTAGTGACTATGCCTTTTGTGGGTGAAACACGGCAGCCAATTGCACACAGAAGTGTCCCACAAACAGTCGTGGATTGAAGTGACCAATTTATTCTTATTCTTACTTTTTTTGGAGGGATTATTATCCCCGGAAAAGCGATCCACCGATCGGGTTCCTACTTACTGCGAGGTAAACAGAGGCGTGTGGAGTAACAAAACTTGCACAACATTTCGTCCTGCCAGGACTCGAACCCAGGAATCTCGCATGTGAAGTGAGTGCTCTAACCACTGAGCTACAGGACTCCAGTAAGCGAGGAGTGAGAGGGGTTGTGGGCGGGAGTGAAAGATTAAAGCTGGTATCAAACTATATTTTTTTATCTAAAAAAAAGTTTTTACAAAAACGTTTTACTTAGAAAAGACAAAAATAAACAACTTGCGAAAATCTATCACTCTCAGTAGTTTCACTAAAACAATACCAGTAGACAGTGCAGGCTGAGATAGATTAAGGTTTGGTTATGGGATGTAATAGGGTTAGAAATGGAGAGTATGAAACTCACTGAATTTTCCTCTGATTTCTACAGAAGGCAATGGGAATGGCAAGCACAGAGAATTAAAAAAAAAATTTAAGCCTTATTGTAGCCACTGATAGTCTTTGGATGAAACCATACCAATAGCTGTGTGTGGAAACTACCATTTCTATTCAATAATTTACAGTCATTTAACCTATTTACCTCATACCAGTCTTGTAGATTGTTATCTGACAAGTCAAGTTCAGAGACGTGGGAGCAGAAGGCAGCAATGTCACTCTCATTTCCAGCTGTGGTGATTCCACAACCATTCAGGACAAGCACAGTCGGAAGATTCAGACGCTCTGAGGCACAATACAACAAATAAAACATCCAGATCAACACTAAACAGAGAAGACTGTTTAAGGCCAATAATAAATTAGCAGCAAGATTAAAACCTGTGTTCTTACTTCACATTGTGTGAAAAGAGGCCACTGGATGATGTTATGAAAATAAAACTCTGGCTTCAAACTTGAGTTTGGTCAGAAAAATAAACTGAAGCTGAGGCTTCAGGAAACCTGAGTTACAGTGTGAATTATTTAACATCACCTGATTATTTTATTAAAGGCAAAGTGAGTAAATAAAGTGTATCTGATATAAAATACATATATATATCTATATCTCAGTGTCCATTTCTGTTACCTACATACAACCAGTATATGTAGGCTAAACCACTGTCTAACTGTACTAATAAGGGGGAGATCTAGTCCGGGAAGCCAGATTTTCCAGCTAACTGCTAATCCTTATATTTAGCATTTAATATAAACAAAATAAGTAACAATGAATCCTAACATTTCAAGTTCATAAAAAATAATTTTAAATAAATAAAAGACAAAAAAAACAAAATTAACAATAGATCTGATTTCACCACCAATGCAATGCAGCTCTGTTGATGCCCAGAGCCAAAGCAATCAGTGTCAAGCCATGGGTACCACCTGGTTGGTGAGAGTTTGAAAATATGGAATGGATTTTAGGGCGCAGAATTTCATAATTTTTTTCATAACCAGTCTGGAAAATTCCAGATACGTGGTATCTAGATAGCTAGAGGTTTACCGTATTCACATTGGGAATACCACTGTATATGTCTTTAACAGGTGATTATGTGAAAAGCTACGGATATGGTCCAAATCAGGTATATAGTACCTTTCACATCGGGAGGACATCTCAAAGCATTTCACATGCTGAATGGGCATCAAGCTGGGAGATCAAGCCGAGGTGGTTGGGTTGGAGTAAGAGTGGTCAAAGAAGTCAGTCTCGACTGCTTGAAAGAGGGGAGGGTTGGGAGCGAGTCAGAGGGACCCCAGGATGGAGTTCCAGAGAATGGTAAATGTTAGAATCTTATGTGTCCCCTCTGTTAACAAAAGAGGGGGTGGATAAAGCAGGCCCTACTGCCTTTTTAATCTCACCCATCCATTTTTTGTGGGGGTCAGCTGGGTGTCTGACACATGCGGAAACCCATCACCGTGCTTAAGAGAATCCAAACCAAGCTGAGATTTCCATGCATGCCATCTACACATGGAAATCCCTCGGATAGATTGTTGGAATGGAATGTGCACTCTCTTCCTGGAGGGATGCATCCTGCTTACCTAATTCCGGAAAGTATTAGATGCTGGTTGGCAAGAGCCAAGGCTTGGGGACCCCAGAGTGTGCGTTGGGGTACTGTTCGAGTCTAACCAACTAAAACCACCTGTTGATATTGCTGTCTGGAAAGTTTTCCCGCTGCTGGTCCATTAGACATGAAAAGCGCTATATCAAATGCAAGGATTATTATTATTATTATTATTATTATTAGGGCTTTGGCTGCAGGGTTAACAGGAGCTGAGTGTGATAACTCCCTGCCCCCAGTGACTGGTCTGCCCTTCCAGCTCTTGCCGATGAGCCATGAGCTGTCATCAGCAGTGCCCAGGAATACTGCAGATCAGCCTGGCTCAGGAACCGGACAAGAGACTGTCACAGAGGGCTGGCTCGATTCCAACATTCTGTTACCAGCTCCCCTTGGAGCTGAACCTTGGAGTCAGTTCAGGACCCCGCTGATCTCCCCCCAAGGAGGATAGCCACCATCCAGAATATATAGTACCATCTCATGCAGCGGTCCTCAGGCCTGTTCTTGGTCTCCTCCTCTTCAATATCTATATACTCTCTTTTAGTGACATCATCCGCAGACATGGGGTCAACTTCCACATGTATGCGGATGACACCCAACTCTATCTCCCTGCCTCCACCCTTGACTCCAGGACCCACTGCAGTCCTGACAGAATGTCTGTCAGACATCAAGCCCTGGATTAGAGCTAACTTTCGTCAGTTGAACGTCAACAAGACTGAGGCTCTCCTGATTGACTCCCGTCAGCGCCTCCACAACATTCAAAGATGCACACTCCACGTTACTAAACCAGTCCGCAACCATGGCATTTTGTTGACCCACAATTATCCTCTCTACCCCACTTCCGTGCCAGGACCTAGTCTGCCTTCTCCCATCTCCGCAACATCGCCCGGCTCCTCCACTGTCTCACACCACAGGCTGCCGAAACCCTCATACACACATTCACAGATCCAGGCTTGACTATGAAAACTCCCCGCTTGTCAGCCTCCCCAACTCCTCCCTCCATAGGCTGCAGATCAACCAGAACTCTGCAGCCCGTGTCTTCTCCCACAACAGGTGACCCTATCACCCCCATCCTCGCCCGACTCCACTGGCTTCCCATCACACAGAGGGTTCACTTTAAGATCCTGGTCCTCACTTTCAAAGCCCTCCATGGTCTTGCTCCCCCCTACCTCTGCAACCTCCTAACCCCCTACCAACCTTCCCGCTCCCTCCACTCAGAGGGCTCCGGCCTGCTCCACGGCCCCTGCCTTGCCCGCCACACCCTTGGTGGGCGGGCCCTCAGGCACTCTCTGGAACTCCACCTCGCCCCTCCCTTGCCTTTTTCAAGACCCATTCCAAGACTCTCCTCTTCGACCATGCCTTTGATCACCCTCCTTCCCCCCGGCCTCCATCCTCCCCGATCCCGTGAAAGGCACTATTCAAATGTAATTTTGTTAATAATAATTATAATAATCCTTGTATTTGAGATAGCGCTTTACACGTCTTCGAGACGTCTCAAAGTGCTTCACTGAATATACTGTAGTGAATTGACTGTATAGCTGTGGGCGAAATGCGGCAGCCAATTGCGCACAGCAATGTCCCACAAACAGTCGTGGATTGAAGTCATCAATTTATTATTTTGTTTCTTGAAGGATTATTATCAGGCTTGTGGAGTAAGGAAACTTGCCCAAAGTTTTGCCCAGCCGGGAATCAAACCCAGATCTCTCGCTTGCAAGGTGAGTGCTGTAACCACTGAGCTACAGGACTCCACGTTGTTGTACCTGGTCTCACCCATACTTCTTTGTAACCTTATCCACTGTTGATTAAATACTTTCAGGTAATTATTCTGAACTTGCCTATAACATGGGTGTATGCTATAAAATTCAAAGGTTTTTTAAAATTGTCCAGTTATCAGGATGCAAGGAACAATTCATTCTCTGAGATTGTGATTAAGTCACATCCCAGATGTCACCCCCAATGGCACCTCAAAATGATTTTTTTTTGGAAAAGTATGAATTTGTAATTTGGGAGTTTGGAGCTGTGGCGTTCAGTAACTTCTCATATGATCCCGCCTGCCAGCACGTGTCCAATGTTCCCCTTTGCATGTGCCTCGAGAAGTGAAATCTAATCTTTTAATTTCTGGCTCTGAGGAGAAACAGTGCTTGATTTGTCCTGTCTGCAAAGCGAGTGAATGATCAGTGGATCCAGGAGTATGTTTCTTTTATAGTACAATGAACAACATTGACTCACCTTTCAGGGGTGAACCCTGGGGACCCACAGAGATGTGGATACCGATTCCCATGCCTCGGCGGTACGGGAAGTTTTCAGGACTGTACTTCTCACAAATAACTTCGACAAAACTCCGTCCACATCCTCGACTCATTTTGACTGGAGAAAACAACCTGCAAGTTGTGGAGACATACTCATCAGCAATATTTCATGTCCAACTGAGCCCAAAGCAATGGAAACACAATCATTCTAAATGATACATAGGTAATAATAATCCTTGCATTTGATATAGCGCTTTTCGCGTCGGGAGGACGTCCCAAAGCACTTCACAGAACACACTGTAAAGTGAATTGACTGTATATTTGTGGGCGAACGCGGCAGCCAATTGCGCACAGCAATGTCCCACAAACAGTCGTGGATTGAAAATGACCAATTTATTATTGCTTTGTTTTTTTGGAGGGATTATGTGTGTGGAGTAAGGAAACTTGCCCGAGGTTTCGCCCTCTGCCTGGGATTGAACTCAGGTCTCTCACTTGCAAAGCGAGTGCTCTAACCACTGAGCTATAGGACTCCATACATAGGTAACAAACTATCAGTTGTTTCATACATAGGTTTAAATACACTGGATTATTCAAATTGGTCAGTTGTAAATTGTCTCCCGTTTTACGATCTGAAGGTTGTGGGGTTAAGTCTCAAGTCAGGACTTTAGAGCGATCACAGTTAAGGCTGACGTGACCGGGCGCTGCATCGTCAGAAGACGGCATCCTTTGGTTCAGAAGTTAAACTGAGCCCAATCTAAGCCCTATTCCCTGTGAAACGCTTTGGGAAAATGTAACTATTATTGATACCAGAAACTACTATCCAGGACTGACACCTGATCTGAGAGTTGCCATCTCCCATTATTATTCTGAATAACATTTAAATGGAAGGTTTAAATAAAGAGGGCTCTGTGTTGCAGTCTCACCTCTGCAGCAGAAAGCTGCGAGTTCAGGTCACAGGATTGTGGGCGGCGGCGCTCACTGCAGCAGCGCTCAGCCTTCAGTGCAAACACCAGACACTGTGAGACGCTTCTCACTGACATTAGTACCGTTTATATTATGTCAATATTCACAACAGCAACAAACAGATGGGAACCGCGGAACTCAGTCCTGAGTCACTGTGGCCCAGAGCGCAGTGACGGCCGCGGCCCGAGGCCCCGAGGCCGGTGAGAAGCCGAGGCCGCGCGGGGCACTGACCGGGGGCCGCACTCACCCCAACGCCGCTTTGGGTTCCTCTCGGTACAAGCCCGCGCTTGACAGGAAGCACGTCATAGCCTAAACAGGAAACGCGTCAGCCCCGCAACTGCATGCCCGACAGCTGCCGTTACCGTAACAACACGGGAGCGGCATGACGTACCATGGGGCGGGGCCTGGTGATGGGGGGGCCGGGCGGGGGCGGGACCGGGCGGGGGGCGGGACCGGGCGGGGCCGGGCGGGGCCGGGCCGGGGGCGGGGCCGGGGGCGGGGCCGGGGGCGGGGCCGGGCGGGGGCGGGGCCGGGGGCGGGGCCGGGGGCGGGGCCGGGGGCGGGGCCGGGCCGGGGGCGGGGCCGGGCCGGGGGCGGGGCGGGGCCGGGGGCGGGGCCGGGGGCGGGGCCGGGCCGGGGGCGGGGCCGGGCCGGGGGCGGGGCCGGGGGCGGGCCGGGGGCGGGGCCGGGCCGGGGGCGGGGCCGGGCGGGGGGCGGGGTGTGAGCTGTTGTTGTTGTTGTTGTCCTGACCTCCCAACAATCCATCAACCTCACTCTTGAAGGTGAAGATGGATCCGTCCATAGCCTTTTGGGGAGAGAATTCAAGATTTCTATCCACTTTGAGTGAAAAAATGCTCTTGATTTCACTCTTAAATGGCCTGGTTCTAATTTTAAGACATTTCCCCCTTGTTTTGGATTCCCCCCCAGAGGAAATAGCTTCTCTGTATCTACCCGATCAATCCCTTTATCATCTTAAACACCTCAATCAAATCCCCCCTCAACCTTCTAAACTCAATGGAATATAATCCAAGTTTATGCCACTTTTCCTTGTAACTTTAACCCTTTTAGGCTGGTAACATTCTGCTGAACCTGTGCTGCACCCCCTCCAGGGCCAATATATCTTTCCTGAGGTGTGGTGCCCAAAACTGAACGCAGTCTCCAGGTGGGGTCTGACTAACTCTCCATACAGCTGAAGCATCATTTCTTCCCCTTTGTATTCCAGGCCCCTCAAGATAAAGGCCAACGTTCCATTCGCCTTTTTGATTACTTTTTGCACCTGGGAGCTAGTTTTTAGTCATTTATGGATATGGACACCCAAATCACTTTGCTCCTCCACAGTTCTCAATTTCTCCCCATTAAGAAAATATTCAACTTGATCTTTTGTCGGTCCATAGTGGATGACCTCACACTTCTCTATATTGAACTCCATCTGCCACGGCTTTTCCCACTCACTTAATCTATCTAAATCCCTTTGTAACTTCCCACTCCCATCTACACAACTTACTGAGCCGCCTACCTTAGTGTTATGTGCAAACTTGGATATAAAACTTTCTATTCCTACATCCAAGTCATTTATATATATGGCGAATAGCTAGGGTCCCAGTACAGACCCCTGGGAAACACTACTTGTCACGTCCCACCAAACAGAGAACATTCCCTTTATTCCTACTCTCTGTTTGCTATCTCCCAACCAATTACTAAGCCATGCCACAAGGTTACCTCCAACTCCAAGTGCTTCCATTTTTGCTAATAATCTTTTGTATGGAACCTTATCAAATGCCTTCTGAAAGTCCATATAAGCGACATCCATAGACGCTCTCTTATCCACCATTTTAGCAACCTCCTCAAAAATTTCAACTAGTCAGACACGACCTACCCTTCACAAACCCATGCTGTCTCCCTTTAACTAGCTCATACCTGTCCAAGTGTTCAGTCACTCTGTCCCTGATGATGAATTCCAGTGTTTTCCCTACACTAACATTAAGCTGCCAGGTCTGCAGTTTCCTGCTTTCCCTTCAATAAAGGGGTAACATTTGCAATTTTCCAATCTAAGGGCACAATTCGTGAATCTAGTGAGCTTTGGAAAATTATGACTAATGCATCTGTAATTTTCTCTCCTATTTCCTTTAACTCCCTGGGATGGAAACTATCAGGTCCTGGAGATTTGTCTATTTTGAGTCTCATTATTTTCTCTATTACCATTTTTTAAATTTATATTAATTTTATTAAGCATTTCTCTTTGATTTTTTTTAGCTTCCCGTGTACTGCTGATATTTTGTCCTCATCCTCTACCATAAAAACAGTAGCGAAGTATTTATTTAACAAGTCAGCGATTTCCTTATTTTCCGTTATAGTCTCACCTACAACAACAACAACAACAAGATTCCATTTATAAAGCGCCTTTCACGTCAGGAGGACGTCCCAAGGCGTTGCACAGTTGGGTCATGACCCGAGCAGGGGGCAAATGGTCAGGGGGAGGGAAGGGAAGGAGCGAGGAGGGGGGAAATAGTCAGGGTGAGGGGAGGGAAGGGAGGGAGCGAGGAGGGGGAAGAGAGTCGAGAGGGGAGCTGAAGGCTGAAGGTCAAAGAGAAAGGTTTTGAGACCGGCCTTGAAGGAGGAGAGGGAGGAAGCGGCGAAGGCACTGGGGGATGGAGTTCCAGAGCCTCGGGGCTGAGAGGCTGAAGGCCCGACCACCGATGGTAGGGCGGTTGGGGCGGGGGACGTGGAGCAGACCGGAGCCGGAGGAAAGGAGGGTACGGGCAGGTAGGTAGGGGGATAGTAGGTTGGAGAGGTAGGAAGGAGCGAGGCCGTGAATGGCCTTGTAGGTGAGGATGAGGATCTTGAAATCAATCCTCTGGGGGATGGGGAGCCAGTGGAGGCGAGCGAGGGTGGGAGTGATGTGGTCCCGAAGCCTGGTGCGGGACAGTACACGAGCTGCAGAGTTCTGAATGACCTGCAGTGTGGAGGGAGGTGCTGGGAAGGCCGGCGAGGAGAGAGTTCCCATAGTCCAGCCTTGAGGTGACAAAGGCGTGGACCAGGGTTTCAGCCGCGTGAGGGGTGAGGTAATGCCGTAGTCTGGCGATGTACCGGAGGTGATGGAAGGCGGTGCCAGTTGTGGTGCGGATGTGAGGGAGAAAGGACAGCTCAGGGTCGAACAAAACGCCGAGGTTCCTGACTGGCTTTGAGAGGTGGAGAGTACATCTGTCCTTAACGGACCCACATTCTCCTTGACCATTCTCTTTCTCTTAATATATTTATAAAAACTTTTACTATTGGTTTTAATATCCCTTGCAAGTTTTTCTTCATACTCCCTTTAGAATTAAGGAACAGCAAAGGAGGCAATTCTAATGGGTTGTTAACTAGTTCTGGCTCATTACACATCACCAAATGGCTTGTTCCCTTGTTGGCTCTAAAACATATTGTTCAAAAAACTGTCCTGAATACATTCTAGAAATGTGTTGCCTTTACTACCTGAGGTGTACTGCTTCTCTCAGTCTATGTGAAATTTTAAATCTCCCATTATAACCACATTGCTTTTGCTACATGGTTCCCTGATCTCCGTATTTATACATTTCACCTCTACATCACAACTCTCTGGGGGTCTGTAGACATCTTCCAATAGAGTCTTGCCTCCTTTGCTGTTACTTAATTCTACCCACAGTGTTTCCACTACCTGATTACCCTTACTGAAATCTTTCCTTGCCATTGCTGTAATAGTGTCTTTTATCAATATTGCTACTCCTCCTCCTTTCCGAATGTCCCTGTCTTTTTTAAAGATCTTATCACCTGGAATATTTAGCTCTCTCTCCTGCCCATCCTCTGTAATGGGTACTACATCATAGCCTTCAAGCTGAATTTGTGTTTCTAAACTCACTTGTTTTATTTCTTATGCTATGTGTATTAGTATACATAACTCTTATTTCGGTAACTGTCCCCAATATGCCTATATGCCCTGACGGTGTCCTTCTCACCTATTTTGATTTATTACACATTTTGTGATAACTTCCTGCTACCTTTTCCTTTCCTGTAGTATTTATGTTATTTTTATCACTATTTGTATTCTGATAGATTGGCTTATCACGTCTATATGCCGTTCCTTCTTGTGGAGTCCAATAGCATATTGGTTAGAGTACTCGCCTCGCAAGCAAGAGGACTTGGGTTCAATTCTTGGGCAGGGAAAAACGTTGGGCAAGTTTCCTTACTTGACACGGCTCTGTTTACCTAGCAGTAAGTAGGAACTCACTTGTTAGTTGATTGGCGTATCGCTTTCCGGGGTAATAATCCCTTCAAACAAAAATAACAACAATTTGGTAACTCAATCCACGACTGCCAGAGTTCGCCCACAAAATATATAGTCAATTATACAGTATATAAGAGTATTATATAGTATGAAGAGCTTTGAGACGTCTCGAAGATGTGTTAAGGCACTATATCAAATGCAAGGATTCTGCCACAAATAGCCATGAATTGCCATTTCATTTGGAGAATGGTTAGTCCTGACACTGAAATAAATGCACTTGTTTTGAAAATGTCAGAATTTTTAACATTCACCTCTAATGTCTCATCTGAAAATCAACACATCTGACAAAACAACCTCCCATATTGTGTCAGTCTATACTATGAGCTCAAAGCATGGAGATTAACTAATTCTAAACATCCGACCCTTGGTTTCAGTTGCAAATTGTTCATACGAGGTAGCAAGGGCAAAACTGGGAATCATATAAGAGGAGCTAATCAAAATGGGGGAGTTGTTGAATGAGGTGCTAAGCCTCTTCCTGTTCTCAAAAAAAATTAAATTGATTCAGACGGAGTTTGAGGTAGTTCAATTTGCAGATAATTTTAAGCCATCAAAGTGCACACACATTGGCACCTCATATACTCATATACAAGCACCACCCTCCCCTCACACAAACAACGGGCACCCCCTACCACCACCACATTGGCACATCACGGAAGGTAGAATCAATACATAAAAATGTTTGAAAGGAAATGAAAGTGAATGACAAATCCTTACTTAAAGTTTAATCCATAGATCTTTGTAACACAGAAATTGCATAGAGTAATTATTATAAATTCAAAATCTGAGCTCCTATATAGCACAGGTTGGCTGAGCTAAGATTGTTGCTCGGAACTCTGTGCCACATATAAAAGGAACAAGATGTCTGGTATTGAGAAATGTTTAATGATACAGTATTTAGTTCTCTCTCATTGGTTTACTTGACACCCAATCCTCCGGTTTTAGTGTATGTTTTTGGCAGGGTTTGCAGTTTGAGACTTTGCTAAGAATGGAAGGTACGATTTGGCACTTGTTTTTTTTATACCAGCTCTGCTGCTTCCTGTTGCGATGTCACACAGTGCATAGTTGTTATCTTTTACTATAAATTGAAGTAACACAAATCTAGCACGCAGACTTTCAATGAAATCTTGCCCTTCCTAAAGTATGAAGACATTTCTCCTTCTGAGCAAAGGCAGGCATATCCCAGGAGCTGAGCAGATATTTCTTTGTTGCCTTTACTGTATTACTCCTGCTCGCTACTATTTGTAGTCTCTTTTTCCCATTCTAGACTGTCTTCACTCTGTAATGGGGACCCCATGGGTCTGGGTCTCAAACCCTGAAATCGACGACATTCAGGACAGACACGAATGTGAGTACAGCGTCTGACTGTCATGGCAGCACTGTGTGCCAAGTGCTGGGAGATGGAGTCAGTCAAATGTCCAGCATACAGCTTCCCATTGCTCAGGGCTCTGCTGTTTCCAGTAAGTGGAGGTTCAGTGTTACTGGGACGTGTCCGTATGAACCGTCGCTTTCGCCGAGCCTGGAAGCTCTCCTGGCACAATACAATACTTCGCACTTCCCTTAGCATCTCCTGACACACAGAAATCTATAAGGAACAAAAAGAAAAAAAAATTGGATTAAAGTAGATAAAGAATGGAATTTTATTTTTTAAAAATTATAAACATGTAGCATCAGGCTACAAAATACACTCAGTTAACTTCACAATACATTTTGTGAAGCACTTTGACACATCCCCCTGACTTACCTCCACTATATCAAAGGCAAGGATTTAAATAGCTTGAAAAAATGATGAAAACTCTGCACAAACCATTAAAAATATGTACAATTTATTACTTGCAAAATTAATTATTTTTTATTCTAGTTGATCTCCCAGAATTTAAAGAATAATAACCCAATTCCCGAAGTTATGTGAATTTTTGGTTTCTTCATCTATCACCCCGCAGATATTATGATTCAACTGCTACTGTCAGACCTTCATCTTGGACTGCACCAGGACTGTATAATTAGCATACTTTAGAATCACATCACCAAACAAATTTACTTACAGGCTGTGGTGAATCGGTGAAGATTTAGTTAACTTACAGATGGAATATCATAATAGGTAATAAAGCAATATAGAACCATATAAATTTACAACATAGAAGACCATTCAGTCCATCGTGTCTGTGCTGACTCTGTTAAGAGGAATCATTTCAATCCCATTTCATTGCCCTTTTCCCCATACCTCTGTAGTTTACTCCTTTTTAGGGATTTATCTAGTTCCCCTTTGAAAGCTAATATGGATTCTGCCTCAACCACCTGAGTAAGGGAAATAAGGATGATAACAACGGAGGCTCGGGCAACAATCTTTCACTCCTCCTTGGACACCTTGGTGGTGCCAGAGGACTGGAGGGTTGCAATTGTTACTCCCCTGTAGAAAAAGGGGTAAAAGGATAAACCCAATAACTATAGGCCAGTCATCAGCAGCATCAGCAGTGGGGAAATTTCTAGAGACTATAACCTGGGACAAAATACATTTTCACTTAGAAAAATATGGGTTAATAAACAACAACAACAAACAACAACAAAATTACATTTGTATAGCACCTTTCACGTCGGGAGGACATCCCAAAGCGCTGGACAGACAGAGTTACGGACCGCCAAAGGACAGCCAACATGGATTTGTTAAAGGCAAATTGTGTCGAGCAAAACTGATAAGAGTTTTTTGATAAAGTAACAGAGAGAGTAGATGAAGCTAGTGCAGGTGATATAGTTTATATGGATTCTCAAGAGGCGTTTGATAAAGTGCCACATAAGAGACTTGTAAGCAAAATAGAAGACTGAGATAGATAGATTTCTTATTGCAAAAGGGATTAAGGGATATGGGGATAAGGCAGCGTCAGGTTATTAGCTGGAGTAAACTTAGAAGATCAGCCATGATTGAATGGCGAGGGAGGCTCGAAGGGCCGAATGGCCTACTCCTGCTCCCACATGTTATGTTATGTAGAAGCCCACGGTATTAAAGGGACATTGGCAGCGGATACAGAACTGGCTGGGAGACAGAAAGCAGAGAATGGTGGTGAACGGTTGTTTTTCTGACTGGAGGGAAGTGTGCAGTGTGGTCCCCCAGGGATCAGTATTGGGGCCACTGCACTTTTCAATCTATATAAATGACCTGGACTTGGGTATAGGGAGGACAATTTCCAAGTTTGCAGATGATACTAAACTAGGAAAAGTAGTAAACAGTGAGGAGGATAGTAGCAGACTGCAAGAGGACATAGACAGACTAGTGAAATGGGCAGATACATGGCAGATGAAGTTTAATGTGGAGAAATATGAGGTGATGCATTTTGGGAGGAAGAATGAGGAGAGGCAATATAAGCTGATGGTACAATCTTATGAACAGGAAGGGGATTCATATAAGTAAATCTTTGGAGGTGGCAGGACAGGCAGATAAAGCTGTTAAAAAAGCATACAGGATACAAGGGCATAGAATACACAAGTCAGGAAGTTATGATGAACCTTTATAAAACACTGGTTAGGCCTCAGCGAGAGACTGGGTTCAGTTCTGGACCCCACACTTTAGGAAGGATGTCAAGGCACTGGAGAGGGTGCAAAGGAGATTGACCAGGATGGTACCAGGAATGAGGGACTTCAGTTATCAGGAGAGGCAGAGAAGCGAGGAATGTTCTCCTTGGAGCAGAGAAGATTAAGAGGAGACTTGATAGAAGTTTTCAAAATGATGAGGGGATTCGATAGGGTGAACAAGGAGAAACTATTCCCACTGGCGGGTGGGTCGGTAACCCGAGGACACTGATTTAAAATGGTTGTTAAAAGAAACAGAGGGGAGGAGAGGAGAAATGTTTTCACACAGCGAGTTGTTGGGATCTGAATGCATTGCCTGAAAGGCTGGTGGAAGCCGATTTGATAATAAGTAGATAATTATTTGGGGAGGACAAGTTTTCAGGGCTATGGGGAGAGAGCGAGGAAGTGGGGTTGATTTGGATAACTCTTTTATCAGACAGGATGGGCCTAATCCTTCTGTGCTGAATAATTCTATGATTACGATTAATCCTGTAGCTCAGTGCACTCGCCTCGCAAGTGAGAGGACCTGGGTTCGATTCCCAGCAGTGTGAAAGTTTGGGCAAGTTTCCTTACTCCACACACCTCTGTTACCTAGCAGTAAGTAAGGACCCAGTTATTAATTGATTGGTGGATTGCTTTTCTGGGGTTAATAGTTCCTTCAAAATAAATTAAAATAATTTTGGTCACTTAATCCACGACTGTTTATGGGGCACTGCTGTGCTGTGCGCGATTGACTGCCACGTTTTGCCGACAAAACATATTCAGTTCACAGTGTATTCTGTGAAGCGCTTTGAGACGAATCAAAGATGTGATAAGGTGCTATATCAAATGCAAGGATTATTATTATTATGGTGCAAATTATAGGTATCTCATAAATGTACCTATGCAAAGGATTTGTGGTTACATTTTTTATCTTTTCCAATTAACTTTCATTCCTAATGTTCATTTCTGTTGACCAGTTTGTAAATCTCAAATTCCTTTGGCTATTAATTACCTCAGTTTCTGTGGATTGTCTCATTTTCCAGATAAATTCAACTACTGCAATAACAATAGCAACAAAGAGGCCGCAGATCAGCACCACAAATATTCCCCCAATATTTTCCATTCCTAGTCCTGTAATTATAAAGAGCAAGACACATATTGTTAAGTATATTTCACAGTTTCAGTCCAACAAATCCAACTATCTGCTCAGAATCTTAAAATATATAAATGTTTTTGCAGCCACGAAGTGAATGATCAATTTTATCTGGGGATTTTTGGTCAGGACACCAGGACTCGATAACAAGCTCTCTTTTCAAATTGGAGATCATTAACGTTCACCTGAACAGGCAGATGGGAACTCGGTTCAATGTCTCATCTGAAGGACAGTACTGCATTGCTTGCCTAGCACTGTACTGGAATGTCAGTTTAGACCAGGTGGTCCAAATTTTTGCCAGCCACGGACTGGATTCCCTACTTGAGAAAGTGATTTTATGCGGCCTGAGACCATATCCAACATTCCAACTTCCGCTCTCTCCCTCTCTGGTCGTCCTCCCAGGGCAGTGGCAGGAGCCAGTGGTTGGGGGACGCAGCGCACAGAGCCCTTACTGCAGTTTGTCAGGAAGGCAAGCACGTCTCTTACCAACTGCGTCCTTAGCAACTTAATCCTTTCGCTGCAGAAAATGAACCCCCGGCTGATTGTGAGACAGAAATTGAGAGAGGGGAGAGGGGGGATAGAAAGGGGGAGAGGGCACACTCTCTCTCCTCCTCTCCCCCTCTCACTCTCTCGCACACTCTCTCAATTACTCTCACTCCACTTCTCACACCCTCTCACATTTCCGCTTCCCTCTCATACTCCAAATATCCCCTCTGAACCATTCTGTCCCCCTCCTCTATCTCTCACCCTCTCTCAATCATCCTCTCTGTTTCTCTGCCCTTCTCCCTCACATTCACTCCCTCACAACTCTCTCTCACCCTCTCTCTCCTTCTGTCCCACTCTCTCTCTCTCTCTGCTCTCTCCCGCTCTCAATCACTCCCTGACAGTCTCTCCCTCTCTCATTCCGCCTTTCTCACCTCTCCCACACATACTCTCAATCCCTCTTCCCCCTTCTCAATCCCTCTCTCCCAATTAACCACGCGGGTCACTATCTGCAGCGGCAGGACCTAAAAAAAACACCCTTGATGCATCCAACCTCACAAATTAGCAACCCATTTTCAACCAGCCCTTCCTTGCCAAAGCTTCAGAATGCATTGCTCTCTAGCTTTGCTCTCATCTCTCCCTCCTCGAGCCCCTCCAGTCTGGTTTCTGCCCTGCCCACAGCAGAGACAGCCCTTGTCAAGATCACAAACGATTTCCTTTGTCTCTGTGACCAGGGCTCCCTTTGCCTCCTCGTCCTGCTGGACCTCTCCACTGCATTCGTCACAGTCGATCATGCCATTCTCCTCCACTGCCTGTCCTCCCTCATTCACCCCAGTGATACCGCACTACCCTGGTTGAAGTCCAACCTAACAAACCGCCTTCACTTTATCTCCTCAAACGGCTTCTCCGCCCGTCCCGCCCGGTCACCTGTGGTGTACTCCAGGGCTCCATCCTTGGCCCCTCCTCTTCCTCATCTACACACTCCTTCTTTGAGGTGTCATCCACAGACACAGGTAAACTTCCACATGTATGCGGATGGCACACAAATCTACTTCTCTTCCAGCGTGACTCCAGGTCCGCCGATGTTCTCTCTGCTTGTCTGACCAGGGCCTGGATGAGCAAAAACTTCCTACAACTCAAAGTTGACAAGATGGAAGCAATAATCATTAGCTCCCATCAATATCTTCTATACTTCGGCTCTGAACTCCTCAATCTCCCCGGCCTATCCCTCAGACTTACTGAACCAGTGTACAACTAGGGGTCAGGTTGAGTCCACAGCTGTCCTTCATTCCCCACATCTGGTCCTTGACCAGGACCACCTTCCTCCATCTCCACCACGTTGTCTGCCCTCGACCGTACCTTACCCAAACGTGGCCAAAAACACTCGTCCATGCGTTCGTCACCTCCCAACTGGGCTTCTCCAATGTCCTCTTTGTCGTCTTCTACTATGCACAGGATCCAGCTAATCCAAAACTCCAAGCTCCACTGGCTCCCCATCATCGAATGGGTCGATTTCAAGATCCTCACACTCGTTTTCAAATCCCTTCATGCCCTGGCACCTCCCTACCTGCTTACGCTCCAACCCACAACTCGTTGCCTCCGCTCGACTGGCTCCGGCCTTCTGCATGTCCCTTGTGTTCCACCATTGGCAGCAGCACTTTCAGCCACTATGCCCCAAAACTCTGGAACACTCGTCCTCTATCCCTCCACCTTGCACCTTACTGCCCCATTTTCAGGTTGTGCCTGAAGACCTTCCTGTTCATGCCTAAGGTCACCTCCCCCTATGGTCACCTCACCCTCTCCCCGGCTCGGAGTCATACTCTTCCACTGTCAAGGGCTCTGGGATGCTACCGTGCGTGAGAGGCGCTGTGTAAATGCAAGTTGTTGTTGTTATAAGTTGCTAAGGACATGGTTGGTAAGAGACGTGCTTGCCTTCCTGACAGACTGCAGTAAAGGCTCTGCTTGCTGTGTCCGTCAGCTCCTGTCGCTGCCCTGGGAGGATGTTCACCAGGGAGGGAGGGAGCGTAAATTTGAATGGTGGAAATGGTCTTGGGTCGCATAAAATCGCCCGCCGGTCGGATGCCGCTCCCAGGCCACCTGTTGGATCAACGCTGGTCTAAACTGTGCCTTTAGTTTTGAAATGGGGCTTGAACCCACAATCTTGTAACTCAGTGGCAACAGACCAGCTGAGACAGGCTGACACCTAAATGCAAAAGATTGCCGATTATTGTAATTGCTTTTAATCATAGAATATTCCACTTAAAGTACCTATGCAATCATCCACATCCTCACCTTTAGCTCCATGATCTCCCTCCTTTGGGCATTTTCCACCTTCCCACCATTTTCGTTTTAAAATTTCTAGACGGTTGTTTTCTTGAAGTTGAAGAATTGCCAAATCAAACTCATTCCTGAAAACAGAACCTGTGGAATATAGAGCTGTTAGTGTGAGGGCACAAGGCTGCACTGCGATGCTGCACAGTGATTTTGGAGACCTACAGTCCATTTGTGGCATTACAGAGCAGTTGCAGAAATACTTTGGGTGTTGAAGGTGTCATTCCCATTGTGTATGTGCAACTGCTTCCTGTTTAGTAAATTGCTTTCTTTATAAATCCTACTTTACAGTTTTCCAGAAAAGTCTCTTGAGAGCCATAAATTACTGGATTTGAAAGAAATGAGACTAAAATGGTAAACACAATCAGATTGGCTATAGTGTTTAGGAACTGTAACAATTCATACTGGGTATAAAATGAAGAAACATGTTCCTTTACTACAAACTAATATTGCTTCCTGCCTCAGAATAGAGATAGCAGCCAATACTTTAGTGATATTATTATTTAATAATAACAAAGGTTCTCTGGATAAGGGTAGAATTTTTCTAAGAAAAATATTCATATTATTTAGTAATCAACCTTTCACTTCTTGTTAAGTGAAACCTCAAGTTACTCACTATAAGATTTGTTTGATTCTCACAAGTGAGTACTCTTTCTGGACAGAATGACAATAATAATAATCCTTGCATTTAATATAGCGCATTATCACGTCTTCGAGACTTCTCAAAGCGCTTCACAGGATACACTATAAAGTGTAGTGACACTATATTTTGTGAACCAATTGTGCACAACAGGATATACTGTAAAGTGGATAATAATAATAATAATCCTTGCATTTGATCCACTTACATGCGTATCATTCTATATAATTATAATACATAGTCAATCCAATGTGGAGTCCTGTAGCTCAGTGGTTAGAGCACTCGCTTTGCAAGCGAGAGACCTGAGTTCAATTCCAGGCAGAGGGCGAAACCAGTATATTCTGTGAAGCGCTTTGGGACGTCCTCCCGACGTGAAAAGCGCTATATCAAATGCAAGGATTATTATTATTATAGCGCTTTTCACGTCTTCCATGTGTCTCAAAGCGCTTCACAGAATATAAGTTAAAGGGAATTGACTGTATATTTGTGGGGGAAATGCGGCAGCCAACTTCGCACAGCAGCGTCCCACAAACAGTCGTGGATTGAGTGACCAAATTATTATTGTTTTTTTTGAGGGATCATTATCAGACGTGTGGAGTAAGGAAACTTGCCCAAGGTTTCTCCCTGTTGGGAATCGAACCCAGGTCTTTCACTTGTGAGGCGAGTGCTTTGACCACTGAGCTACAGGATTCCACATTGGATTGACTATGCATTATAATTATATAGAATGATACGCATGTAAATGGATCATTTGGCCCACCAAGTCCATGCTCATATTAACTCTTCAAATTTAATGGATGTGTATTTATTTAAATAATATTGAAAAATATTCTGGAACATACCGATGGGCAGGCCGATGCCATAGCCTTTAGTGTCCAGGAGGCTGCCGATCTGTGTAAGGTTACAGCTCCGTTGCCTATGGTACTCATTCATGGTGGATTCTAACAAAAAGGCGTAGTTAGACTTTAAAACACGAGCAATTCCTTCGTCTGTGCTTTTCACAAAGACACTGGGTTGTTTGGAGTGCATGTAGTTCCACATTCTCTGGTATGTCTGGTATCGAGAGTTCTGGGAGGACAGCAAAGTTTTTCAAAGTAATATTGAAGAATTTATTACTAGAAGAAGCTAAAATTGCTCATTATATTTTACCTGAAAGAAAGTCATGGTTGATCCTCCTTGAATTGTCCCATATCCAATGTTTGTTTGGTCAGCAAGATCATCAACGGATTCTATTGGTACATCCATTCGTTGGACAGTCAGGAAAGCGGCCAGGTTGGCTGTGTATGATGAGATGATTATCAGTGTGAAAGCCCACCTGCACAATGACACAAAGGACTCGGATTGTACCAATAGCTTCTAACAGATTTCACGACAATATCTGGTAGTATTTGACAGGTTCTAACAGTCATGTTTTCTGATTGCTTGACAGACAACTTAATTCTCATAGATTATTATACTATTATAGATGTCGATAAAATCAAATGTTACTTTTCATTACAGCAAAGTTTGAAGAAGCCTGAATAATCCCAATGTCATGTTTTAGTGCTTTATCATGTTCATCATACACAGGCAATATTAATTAATATTAATATTTGAAAAATAAGGTCTTACCAAACTCCAGTAACACAGCGGGTCGAAAGAGCACGAGGCATAATTTCTGATCCTTGCTGCATGAAGCCACCCACTGGAAACCATAAGCTATTTCCGAGTGAATACTGATTGACCAACATATTACACTTTCCTTTGAGGCAAGAATGAGGCATGTACCATTCATATGGAGTCAATCTGTAAAGAAAATAATTGAATCTAATTTTTTTTAAAAAACAGTTAAACTGATCAATGAATATTTCCTAAACGCAAAATACTGCAGATGCTGGAAATCTGAAACAAAAACAGAGATCACTGGAAACACTCAGCAGGTCAGGCAGCATTTATGGAAAAAGTAAATCAACATTTGGGGTCCACGACGGAGTTCCAAAACGTTGACTCACTTTCCTTTCTTCATAGATGTTGCCTGACCTGCTTAATGAATATTTCCTGTTCAATGTGCCCACGTCCCCCAGCAAGAAACAGGAAAGTGGAACAGCTCTGCTGCTGTGTGTGGGGTTGTGTGTAGGGCTGGCTGTGGGGCTGTGTGTGGGGGGCTGACATGGCAAATATTGAGATGACGGTAGCCTCGTGTCTGTCTGTCTGTGTCTGTCTGTCTGTGTGTATCTGCCTGTCTGTAATGTAATGTTGTTGTTGTTTTGTATGTCTGTCTGATTCGATTGAGGTGTTTTAAATGATAAAGGGATTTGATAGGGTAGATACAGAGAAGCTATTTCCTCTGGTGGGGAATCCAAAACAAGAGGGGCATAGTTTTAAGATTAAAACCAGGCCATTTAAGAGTGAAATTAGGAAGCATTTTTTCACTCAAAGGGTGTAGAAATCTGGAATTCTCTCCCCCAAAAGGCTGTGAGTGCTGAATCCATCCACACCTTCAAGATTGAAGTTGATAGATTTTTGGTAGGTCAGGGGATTCGATTCCACCTGTTCACCTGCGTGTACCCCAAGGATCTGTTCTTGGCCCCTTCTCTTCCTCATCTATATGCTCCCTCTTGGTGATGTTATCCGCAGACATGGGATTAACTTCCACATGTATGCAGATAACACTCAACTCTACTTTTCCATCTCCAGCTGCAACCCCCAGTCCCCTGATGTTCTGTCAGCTTGTTCTGTTGAACATCAGGGGCTGGACGAGCGCAAATTTCCTGCAGTTAAGCATCAACTTGACGGAAGCCATACTCTTTGGCTCCCGCTGACGTCTTCTGTCCACGGTCTCGACCTCCTCAACCTGCCCGACCTGTCCTTAAAACTCTCTGAACCCGAGCGCAACTTAGGTATCAGATTCGATCCCCAGTTATCCTTCCTCCCCCACATCAAGTCCCTGACCAGCACCATCTCTGCCATTACCCGGCTCCGACAATATCTCACCCCAAAAGCTGCCGAAACCCTTGTCCATGTCTTTGTCACCTCTCGGCCGGACTATTCTAACGCCCTCCTCACCTGTCTCCCCTCCTCCACTATTCCCAAAATCCAGCTCATTCAAAACTCTCCCATCCGCATTCCCACCCATACCAAACTCCGTGTCCCGATTACTCCACTTGCCAAACTCCACTGGCTCCTGTCACAGAGCGGATCCACTTCAAGATCCTCACTCTAGTGTTTAAATCCCTCCATTCCTTGGCCACCCCCCTATCTCCCTAACCTCCTCTCCCACCACAGCAGTACCTGCTGCTTCTGCTCTTCCAGATCTGGCCTCCTCCGTGTCCCCCGAATCCTCTGCTCCACCATCGGCCGCTGTACCTTTAGCCACTGCACCCCGAAACTTTGGAACTCACTCCCTCAACCCCTTGGCCTCACCCCCTCCTTCCCCTTCTTCAGGTCGCGCCTGAAGACCTTCCTTTTCGACCGCCCCTACAGTCACCTCCCCCTCCCCCTGGATTGGCCTCGGGCTTCACCATTGTTAATCTCTGAGATGCCGCCCGGTGTGGAGTGTATTATATAAGTGCAAGTTGTTGTTGTGTCTGTCTGTACGTCTTTGTGTGGCTGGGTGCGTGACTGACTGTGTCTGTGTCCTTGTGTGTGGCTGTCTGTGTGTGTGTCTGCACATGTGTGTGTCTGCCTGTGTGTGTGTCTGCGTGAGTCTGTGTGTGTGTGAGTCTGTGTTTCTGTCTGTGCGTCTGTCTGTCTGTTTGTGTTTCTCTCTGGGTGTCTGTCTGTGTGTCTCTCTCTGTGTCTCACTATGTGTTTGTCTGTGTGTCTGTCTGTGTGTTGTCTGCCTTTGTGTCTCTGTGTGTCTGTCTGTCTCTGTGTGTCTGTCTGTTCCTGTATTTGTGTATGTGTCTCTTTCTGTCAGTGTTTCCGTGTATGCCTGTGTATGTCAGTGTGTCTCTATCTGTGTATGTGTCTGTCTGTGTATGTGTCTGTCTGTGTGTATGACTCTGTCTGTCTGTGTGTGTCTGTCTGCCTTTGTGTGTCTGTCTGTGTTCGTGTGTCTGTCTGTGTTTGTGTGTCTGTCTGTGTCCTTGTGTCTGTCTGTGTGTGTGTCTGTGTGTGTAAACAACAATAACTTGGATTTATATAGCGCCCTCCATGCCGGACGGTGTCTCAGAGCGCATCAGAGAATGTGTCTGTCTGTCTGACTGTCTATCTTTGTGTCTATTTATGTGTTTGTTTGTGTGCGCGTGCGTGTCTGTCTGTCTGTCTTGTCTCTCTGTCTGTTTTTGTGTCTGTCTGTATTTGTGTGTGTGTGTGTGTCTGTTTGCTGTTGTGTCTGTTTGTCTGAGCGTGCGTGTCTGTGTATGTGTGTCTGTCTGTGTGTCCGTTTTTGTCTTTCTGTGTGTGTGCCTATTTGTGTCTCTGTCTGTGTGTATGTCCGTGTGTCTGTCTTTCTGTGTGTGTGTGTGTCTGTCTGTATGTTTGAGTATGTGTCTGAATGTGTGTGTGTATGTGTGTGTGTGCGTCTGTCTGTGTGTGTGCCTGTGTGTGCGTATCTAGCCTCTGTTATTTCCACCCTTAATTTCCTCAGTCACGTAGGATGCATCCCGTCCAGAGCAGGTGACTCATCTACCTCGATCACCGTCAACCTTTGTAGTACCTTTCTCGGTTTATTCTTATCAAATTTCTCTACCTTCTCCTCCGATACTGTGGCATTCGATGCATCCTCTTCTTTTGTGAAGACAGCTGCTAAGTTTGATAACGGAGACCTTTACACTGTTAATTTCCCAGTCTATGTTAGGATAATTGAAGTCCCCCATTATCACTACTCTATTGGTTTTGCAACTTTCTGAAATCTGCTGCAGATTTGCTTGTTCCCCTATTTGGTGTCTTTGTGTCTGTGTGTGTGTGTCTGTCTGTGTGTGTCTGTCCGTTCGTGTGTGTGTGTCTGTCTGTCTGTGTGGTGTCTGCCTGTTTGTGTGTGTGTCTGTGCATCTGGGTCTGTGTGTTTGACTGTCTGTGTCTGTCTGTTTGTGCATCTTTCTGTGCGTGTGTGTGTGTCTGTTTCTCTGTGCATCTGACTATGTGTATGTCTGTGTGTGTGTGTGTGGCTGTCTGTATGTGTGTCTGTCTCTCTCTTCTGGGTGTGTATGAGAATCTTGAAATTGATCCGTTTGGTGATAGGGAGCCAGTGGGGTCTGGCTAGAACTGGTGTGATGGGGGTTCAGAGTTTAATGTAGGTGAGTATGCGGGCGGAGGGATTTGGCATTAACTGGATTTTGTGGATATCGGAGCTGGGGAAACCAGTGAGGAGGGCATTTGAGTAGTCGAGGCGGGAGGTGACGAATATATGGACAAGTGTTTCGGCTGCATTTGGGGTAAAGTATAGTCGGAAATATAAATATGTAGAATACAGTATAAAGTTTACCTGGCTATAAGGAAGAGAACACAACTAACTGCAAGGTAGGCAAGCACCATGAAAAGCCACACTCCAGGAGAGAAGGGGTCCAAGAAGGAAAAGTAACCAGGTTTCCTGCTCTGCAAAATAGTCAGGAAAGAGCAAGAGAGCCACTGATTTCTTTGCTATATTAGGGAATAAAACAAGGTAATTAACAGGAACATTTCTATCTCAGGTGTCAGCCTGGCTCAGTTACCTCATTCTCAGAAGGTTGTGAAGTGAAGCCACATGATAGGCTGACACTCCAGTGCAGTGCTGGGGGTATTGTTGAATTGTTGGAGGTGCTGTCCTTTGGATGAGACATTAAACCGTGTTCATGTAAACGTTAATGATCCCTTTTCACTATTTGAAAACTGAAGGGAATTTATCCCACTCACCTGGCCAACATGCCCCCAGATAAAATTAATCAATCACTTCATGGTATTTGTGGGAAATCACTGTGCACAAATTGGCTTCTACAAAATACACAGTCACTACACTTTATAATAAATCCTGCAAAATGCATTGAGATGTCCTCTAAATATGAAAGGCCTTATATCAAATGCAAGGATTATTATTATTTCTAAAACATTTAATAATCCTTACATTTGATACAGCATCTATAATTTCCAAACATCTCAAAATGCTTTACAGATATTTGATAGTAAGTGTGGTGACTGTATATTTGTAGGTGAATTTGGCAGCTAATTTGTGCATAGCAATGTCCCACAAATGATCAATTTATCTGAGGACTGTTGGTTGGGATCTGAAGAAAAATTACCTTCTCTTTTTGAATTATGTTATGGCCATGTTTTCACATTCCCCTGAACAGGAAAACGGGACCTTAGTTTTCACATCTTATCTGAAAGATGACACCTCCGCAATGCAGCACTCCCCCATCACTGCATAACGTCAACCCAGACTGTGAGCTCAAAATCCTGAACTAGAGGTGAGAGTTTGACTGAGTCAGGTCAACATCTGAACGTAAAGTGGTAGGAAAATCTAGGAGGACTTACTGTTCAAATGCTGCCTCACACTATATGAAGAAACTACTACTAAATGTTTACTAAATTCACTTGAATGTTGTTGATGTTCACAGATTGTTCTTAGAACAGAACTCTTGTTAATTGGAAGACCTAACAAGTGTATGAATCATATTGAAGTACAATTCATCAGATTATTAATATAGAACATAGAGTCATAGAATTATACAGCACAGAAGGAGGCCACTCGGCCCTTCGTGACTATGCCAGCTCTTTGAAAAGAGCTTCCAAATCCACCCCACTCCCCTCCCATAGCCCTGATCAACCCCACTCCCCCACGCTCTCCCCACAGACCTGATCAACCCCGCTCTCTCCCCATAGCCCGGCAAACTTGTCCTCCCCAAATAATTATCTACTTCTCTCTTAAAAGTTGTTATCGAATCGGCTTCCAGCCTTTCAGGCAACGCATTCCAGAATGTAAATATATTCTACTGGAAAATATTTTAGAAAAATAGGCTTCTTACCATGTGAACGCGATAGAGGATACTAATTCCTAAAGTCATAAAAGGTTTGGAGAAGTCAATGACCTTCTCTCGTTCAGCTGTGATAGTCAGGCCAGCCACAGCCAGGTCAGCTTTCTATAAACAAACAAGTAGAAAGACAATCACAGAACTCTGGCAATTTAATATTATGAAAAACAACACTTTACTGACAACAATCAAATATGAAAGCTACTTTAGCTCCAAATGTTTGATCAGAAACTTTTTGCACATTACCAAAATCTGCCAGTCTTTTATTACCATTAGAGCAGATTCAATTCAATATGAGCTGCACATATTGTCACCAATCATAATGACTTCAATATTCCGTTAAAGACAGAATTTAAAGCTATGATATGTCTGCATCATCTTTTGAAGAGAACAGAATTTCTCCAAAGTTCAACCTCACATTTATAATGTAATCTTTGGCAATACCTGTAGCAATAAAGCTGACTTATGACATTGCCAGAAATGAAAACATTATAATGTAAATATTGTTAATACTCTTATCTCACCACATTATGTAGAAAGAAAATTTTATAATGTAAATTATAAGTTTATAATAATAATAATCCTTGCATTTGATAAAGCGCCTGGTTCACAAACCAAATCCCTTCACTCCCTGACACCTCCCAACCTCTCCGACCTCCTCACTCCCCAATCCACCACCCGGCGCCTCCGCTTGACTGGCTCCAGCTCCTACTCGTCCCTCACACCCTCTGCACCACCATCGTAGGTCACACTTTCAGCCACTAAACCCCAAAACTCTGGAACATTCTCCCTCAATCCCTCCGCCTTGCCTCTCTCCCCCCTCTTTCAAGTCCCGCCTGAAGACCTTCCTCTTTGACCGTGATTAGGGCCACCACCCCCTCCCCCCAGAAAAAGAATCATTGTCCTGTCCTCTCTAAGCCTTGCCACTGTGCCTGCCTGCCCTGGCTGCCTGGCTGGTCTGACACCAGCAGTGCCTGCCCTGGCTGCCTGGCTCACAAACCAGACTAGAAACAGAGGGTGGACTTGATTACGACATTTTGTTCTTGAAATCAGCTGAGCTCTCAGGATAATAATAATAATAATAATAATCTTTGCATTTGATATAGCGCTTTTCACGTCGGGAGGATGTCCCAAAGTGCTTCACAGAACACACTGTAAAGTGAATTGACTGTATATTTGTGGGCGAACGCGGCAGCCGATTGCGCACAGCAATGTCCCAATATACACTTCCTCTCCAGAGGGTAAAGCGGTGACAATCTGGCATCTGGAGGAGCAATTATTTCAAATATACATTCTGACGCCTTCCTCATAGTGGCGGTAAAATACAGTAGTTTGCATTGATCTTTAACATTGTTTGATTCAGTACTTACTCTTGTAACCAGCTCACCAATCATTCCTGTCCAAGTGCCATTGGGCTCAGCAACCCCGTACACACCATCAGCAACCAGTTGGATTTTGTATTTAAATCGGAGGAGATTCGACAGTTCCTGCAGCATTTCTACACAGAATCCTTCATATCGTTCATTTCCTTCTAGCTGCTGATGGTTTAATTTCAGCATCACATATGGATTTTCCTGAGGAGAAACGTCACAGCTTGTTCACAGAATCATTTATGGCAACATAATTTCAGGAGACTTTAACTATGTGTCTTTGGCACTTTAAATGGTCCAATGTAATTTCTGCCTTCATGTTATATTTACTACAGGAATATCACCAATTATTTGCATTCACTGACTCCGGCTGTTTTTGACTTTGATATTAGGGCATTCAATGTGATACTTTTAATGTCACAACAATGTCTACAACATTTTAAATTGTTTTGTAAATACAACATCAAGACACACAGGGCTTCCCCATTATAAAGCCACATTAAAGATACAAAAAATTAAAATGGATCAGTGAAAACAGTGATCTTGTAATTTTGTTTCACTAATTACTGTTATGTCATGACTTGGAAATGGTCCAACAAATGCCACGAGGAGTGCAATCCTCCTGTTTGGAAAACCTAAATGGTCTTTAGACGACATTATATATGGAATACAAACACAGCTCCACTTACCAGGATTGTTGTAACTATCAACGTTTTATTGAATAAACTCTCAGAAATATTTAGAGAATAAAACCTTCTGTCCATCACTAATCCATTCTCTGAGTGCCAGACACCAATCTATGGAAAAAAGTACAAAATGGAATGCCTAACTGCGTCTGGTATTACAGCACTTCTCTATTGATTCGCTGTTGAATTATACTTAAAAAAGATTCAGATGAAGAGCCCATCAGATCATTTGACCTCGGCCAGAATATCCAGCTTTCCATATCAGACGCCCTGCTATAGGCTTTTCACATCACAGTGAAAATGCAAAATCTCAACTGTAACAAAACACCAGAAAACAAAGGACCTAATATAGTATCTTGTTTGAACCACGTTAACCAGGAATCTGTGGCACAATCTCAGTTTTCAAATCCTGCAATATTTTCACAAGTCCAACAGATAAGCAACAACAACAACAACAACAACAAGATTGCATTTATTGAGCGCCTTTCACGTCAGGAGACCGTCCCAAGGCGCTGGACAGTTGGGTAGGGACCCGAGCAGTGGGGAAATGGTCAGGGTGAGGGGAGGGAAGGGAGGGTGCGAGGCCGTGAATGGCCTTGTAGGTGTGGATGAGGATCTTGAATTCGATCCTCTGGGGGATGGGGAGCCAGTGGAGGCGAGCGAGGGCGAGGGTGGGAGTGATGTGGGCGCGACGCCTGGTGCGGGACAGTACACGAGCTGCAGAGTTCTGAATGACCTGCAGTGTGGAGGGAGGGCCGGGAAGGCCAGCGAGGAGAGAGTTCCCGTAGTCCAGCCTTGAGGTGATAAAGGCGTGGACCAGAGTTTCAGCCGCGTGAGGGGTGAGGTAGTGCCGTAGTCTGGCAATGTTCCGGAGGTGATGGAAGGCGGTGCCAGTTGTGGCGCGGATATGAGGGAGAAAGGACAGCTCAGGGTTGAGGGGAACCCCGAGGTTCCTGATGGCTTTGAGAGGTGGAGAGTGCGGCCTTGGATGCTGATGCTGTCAGCGCCTGAGGTGCGGAGGCGCTGACGTGAGCCAATGTGGAGGGCCTCAGTTTTGCGCACGTTGAGCTGAAGAAAGTTGTCTCTCGTCCAGGACTCGATGTCGGACAGACAGCTGTCAGGACATCAGGGGTCGTGGAGTTGAGGGTAGAGGAGGAAAGGTAGAGTTGGGTGTCATCCGCATACATGTGGAAGTTAACCCCATGTCTGCGGATGATGTCACCACAGGGGGAGCATATAGAGGGTGAAGAGGAGGGGACCGAGGACAGAGCCCTGAGGGACACCACACGAGACAGTGCGGGGGCCGGAGGAAAAGCCGTTTGCAGAGACAAAATGAAGATGTCATTGGTCACCTTGACCAGGGCGGTTTCTGTGCTATGGGCAGCATGGAAACCTGACTGGAGGGGTTCGAAAGGTGAGTGGGTGGAAAAGAAAGAGCGCAGCTGGGAGGCAACGACTCCTTCGAGAACCTTAACATTAAAATAAATGCTTCCAGTAAAAGGCAAACACCCAGCATCTGCCTTACCTCTCTGAGTCCTTCTTTGCTATGCTGCACAATCTTCAGAACATAATTAACTCGCTGTCCTTTACTGCTGAATTCAATGTGTCCTGTTAGACCTTCTAACTCTACCTGTGAGTGTGGACACAGTAAAAAATTACTCTGCAGAAATTAACATCATTTTTTTCAGTTCTTAGACATATCAAATAAAGTATAAATTAGTTCACATTCTGTCCTTTTTTTTCTATGATTCCCTCTTCATTCCTTTTTTNACAAAGTAGTTGCTGATATTCATTTGATATGCAAAGTACTCATTCCCAGTGTATCCAGCTCCTCTCCAGCCTGTACTCCCAACTATTCACTCTCTGTTTGCACCATAGTCACAAACTTGAAATAGCTTCTTCCCATTCAGTCCGTAATAGTGTAAAATGCCTGTGACCATTGCTGTCCTGCTTTATACAGGTAGATAATATATTACAATAAACAGTTACATCACTAAATGCTCATTTTAGATACGTAAAATAACGTTCTCTCACCATTCGCAGATAGTTCATCAGGCTGGTCCCATGTTGCCAAATCTGTGCAGAGCCACAAGATAGTGATCTGATGGCAATCTCCTGACTACGATTGAGCTGATGGACAGCAGTGACCACAACATGGACAGCATCAAAGAGCAGTGCCGAGGAGAGCTAGAGACAAGAAATGGAGAATCCCTTCAGGAGAGAATAAAAAGGTGGGAAATAGAAGCATAGGTTATCAAAGTACAGAGTAAATGCAATTTGAACATGGATGCTTTTCTTGCAAACATTTCCTTTCACTTGAGAGCCTTGTGAAAATTATGCAAATGATATATCAGTTGATTCCAATCGCTGTCTATTGACTGCCTTAATTCACATAATGATTATTTGATTTCTATTAATGACACTGAGCTGAAGTTTCACCTACCCAAGTTACAAAAAGCTCACGAAGAACAAAATGTAATTTAAAATATATTACTTTTCTTTGCTTAACAGTTCTGGAATCAAGTTATATTTTATGCCGTTGTTGTTGTCGTTGTATATCCTTCACCAAAGCTGCTACAGTAAAACTCCTGATAACTCAACCCTGTATAACATGTCACTGACACGTAAGTCATCGTGCTGTCAATTTCCTGGCCGCATTTATTCATACCTAACTTGCTATTCCAGATAACTCATCACTGAGCCCTTTTCCCTTGGAGTGATGAGTTAGCAGTTTACTGTATTATGAATTAACATTGAGGAGGCAGGAGTAATCCCTTATGTCTATGTTTTGTTTACACTGAAAATTGATTTATTTTCCTGGGTCACAGAACAATGCTGCATAATAATATCACGGCACCTGATCAGAGCTCCAAATAATCTCAAATCATTGGGCGTTCAGATAGAGATGGAACGAGCAAAAGAAAAAAATCGTTAATATTTGCTTAAAGTCAAACAGAACATCTTTATCTAAATTCTGAATAATATATTCTATATTAGAAACAAAACATATTGTTTGGAAATGCAGATTGACCAGGTTTTAAAAAAGACAGACGAAGGTCATGAAAAAAGCTGATTGGATGCTGGTTTTATAACAAGGAGTTTGGAATATAAAAACAAGGAAATGTTACTGCAAATGTGGAACATTGGTCAGATCATATCTGGAGTATTGTGTTCAGTTTTGTATGGAAGGATACACTAACCTTAGACCAAGTCCAGCAACAAATCAGTGTTTTGCTGTGAAGAAATTTTTGCAGGATTCATTTTTAATTAGCTTTCTGCTCATTTTAAAATTATTTTCCTTTACACAGAAAGATACTGCACGGAAAAAGACCATTTGGCCTGATTAGTCTGTGCTGGTGTTTATACTCCAGACAAGCCTTTCATCCCCACCTAATCCTCTCTCCTATGCCCATCTCCCTTATGTTTGCCTCAAGCTTCCTCTTAAATGCATTGTTCTGGAATGTCTTCCTGGAAAGTCCTTCTCTATGTCATTTCCCTTTATCATTTTAAAGACCTCAGTCACATCAACCCTTAACCTCTTCAGATCTGGGGAATATATCAGAATCTTCCCTCTGGTAGGAGAATCATTTTGGGCAGATACACTGCTACAAGTGATAGTGCCTAAAACCTAGCAAAGGCTGGTGACACTGGGATGTATTCCCTGGATTTGAGGGAGGATTTAATTCAGGTGATCAAGTTATTACTTAGGAAATATTAAAGAATATGACAGGAAGGAGGAAAGTAGAATGAGGACTTATCTAGTGACTTGGAATAATTGGTACTGGAATAGGTTGAGGATTGAATAATCTTCTCTTGCTCCTAAATTCCTATGTAACAGATTACCAGATGACTCAGACACATGGGACTACCAGTCAAAGCAGCTTTTTATTTATAGTTAAGAATAAACCCAGGGGCCCAGGGCACAGAACGAAACCAATCAACATTCATGCTTCAAAGATTGGCTTACAAATCCCACTGGTTCTATCAGAAGCAAAATCTAAGTGGGAAATTATTTACATCATTAGAAATCAGAAACAAGTTATCATTTCCATGCAGTTCAAACAACGCCAAATGGCATTGGAGTTTTTATTGTTTATCTCAAACTGCATTTGCTGTTATCTATAAAACTGCTCAACAGCCAACACAAAATATTATTTGCCAGTTACAAACTCACTGCTGGCCCAGGGTATGCTGCATGAGCACAGTTTTCCTGCCAGGATCTGTTCAGATTGTACACAAAGTCACTGAAGTGCAAATGGTTTGAGTCGGTGATGGAAAATCCCAGAATGTTCATGTGATCTTCAATCAGCTCATCCAGTTGGAGAAGAGGAAACTCCTAGAGTTAGAGATATCACAAAAAAGGCCAAAACATTTTAAAACGTTTGTACAACAACGGGCTGTATAAGACATATTTATAGCACCTCTCTCGCAGGGTGGCGTCCCAGAGCACTTACAACTTTCTCTGACTTCTTAAAAGTAGATGTGCAAAAATAGTTTCCAAATTAAAACAAGATTTTAGAACTTTAAGAGTGTTTATAAGTTCTCCTGCACACATGCATTTATATGCAGATTTTGTGCATGAGATTGTTATCTAACCCATAAATTAGATTACAACATGTTTAGCAATACTTTTATTGGCAACAGTTACTTTCTCATCATCTTACCAGGGATGTGAAGATGTATTTATAGGACACAGAAGTCATGCCAAGCTCCACTGCCTGGAAAACAAGAGAAAATACGAGTTACCAGAGGGGAGATGGATCAATAAAGCCCCTAAAATGACACAGCATGAATTCAGGAATGGTCGACTAACCTAGAGTTTTTCCAAAAGCCTCTGTTATTCTGGAGAAAGATAATGTGTTTGATTTAAAAACACATATAAATTGGTCCTTCAGTTAATGTGCGACATTACTGTGTGGAAATTGCCTGCTATGTTCAATACAAAATACAGTCTCTACACTTTACCCTAAATCCGTAAAGCAATTTGAGATATAATCCCAATGTGAAAGGTGTTATATCAAATTCATGGATTATTATTATTTATTATTATTATTATTTATTATTATCAGAATGTTTCGCCCACAAATATGCAGTCAATTCACTTTACAGTATATCCTGCGAAGCGCTTTGAAATATTTCGAAGACATGATAAGGCGCTGTATCAGATGCAATATTATTATTAACTATTAAGGCAAAGGTTCTAGATTAGCAATCAATGAATCATGAAACATGGAGTATAGTCTGGAGATGGATAAATATTTCGCTTAAAAACAAACATAAGTCAGCGTGGTCCAACAGGAGGACCAAGGGTTGGAATCGACTCAATGTAAATTGCAGATTGTTTAACCCACATTTTTTTNGTCAAGTGAAAATTTCTGTTCAGCGAATTCCCAGATACTCAGTACAGGGAGGGTCCAACCTTTTGGCTGCCACAGCCCGGATTCCCTATTTGAGAAAGGTCCGCGAGCCACATCCAGCCTGGGCCAGCGGGTGATTTTACACGGCCCGCGACCATTCCACCATTACAACTTCCACTCCCCCCCTCCCTGGGGAACGCCCTCCCTGGGCAGTGGCAGGAGCCTCTGGTTGGAGTTTGCAGCTCACGGAGTCTTTACTGCAGTCTGTCAGGAAGGCAAACAAGTCTCTTACCAACCGCTTCGTTAGCAACTAACCACGGGCTCCTGCCACTGCAGAGGGAGACCCGCACTTGGGAGAGAGATGGGGGGGGGGGGGGTCAGAGGCGGAGAGGGTAAAGAGGGGACGAGGGGGAAAGAGAGGAGGAGAGGGGAGAAAGGAGAAAGAGCGGCAAGTGGAGAGAAACAGGGAGAGTGAGGGGAGGGGGAGAGAGGGTGAGAGGTGGGGTTTAGAGTGGGAAAGAGAGGGGGAGGGAGAGGGAGGAGCAGGGGTTGGGGGGCAAGGGAATTATGGGGGAGTGTGTGGGGGGAGAGAGAAAGGGGTGGGGGGAGAGAGGGGGAAGTGGGAGGGAGAGAGGGGAGGGGGAGAGAGTGGGAGAGGGGGAGGGGAGAGAGTGGGAGAGGGAGAGAGGGGGAAGTGGGAGGGAGAGAGGGGGGGAGGGGGAGAGAGATGGGGAGAGGTATGATGGAGGGGGAGAGAGAGATGGGGAGGCAGGGTTAGGGGGAGAGGAAAGATTATGTGTGTGTGAGAGAGAGAGAGAGACTTTGAGAGAGCGATTGAGAGAGAATGGGAGCATGAGGGTGAAAGAGAGAGTGTGAGGAGGAGGGAGTGAATGTGAGGGAGAAGAGGAGAGAAACAGAGAGAGGTGGGGAGCAATTGAGAGAGAGTTTGAGAGAGGATAGAGAGAGTGTGTGTGGGAGAGAGAGGGAGTGAGAGAGTAATTAAGAGAGGGAGATAATGTGTGTGAGAGAGAGAGAGGAGAGGGGGAAGAAAGTGGTTGAGAGGCGGCAGATGAAGTATGAGAGTAATTGAAAGTGTGTGTCCCCTCCCCCCCTTCTCTCTCCCCACTTCCCCTGTCTGACCCCTCCCCCCCTTTGTCCCCCCCTTCCTGTACCCTCCCCTTCTCTGTTGTCTACTCTCTGTCCCCCCACTCCCCCCCTTCTCTGTCCCGCACTCCCCCCACCCCCCCAATCTCTCTCCCAAGTGCGGGTCTCCCTCTGCAGTGGCAGGAGCCCGTGGTTAGTTGCTAACGAAGCGGTTGGTAAGAGACTTGTTTGCCTTCCTGACAGACTGCAGTAAAGACTCCGTGAGCTGCAAACTCCAACCAGTGGCTCCTGCCACTGCCCAGGGAGGGCGTTCCCCAGGGAGGGGGGGAGTGGAAGTTGGAATGGTGGAATGGTCGCGGGCCGTGTAAAATCACCCGCTGGCCCAGGCTGGATGTGGCTCGCGGACCTTTCTCAAATAGGGAATCCGGGCTGTGGCAGCCAAAAGGTTGGACCCTCCCTGTACTGAGTATCTGGGAATTCGCTGAACAGAAATTTTCACTTGACAAAAAAAATGTGGGTTAAACAATCTGCAATTTACATCATCCTGTATGCTGCAAGTGTATTCCTCGCATGTATACACATGTTCTGTATAAGCAGATGGTTTTATGCATAGAACTGCAAGAAACAATGGTTGGATTCTGATTGTGCATTTTCTGGAGCCTTACTTCACAGCTTATTTAAAATGGAAAATATTTTGAATAATTCTTTTACTCCAGTACTCTTGCCATTGGTAATTAAGATTCTGCTTAGATTATAATTAAACATACCTTCTTTAGGATGGAACGGGAGACTAAAGCACTTGCATCAATAATTATTGTTACAATTTTGTCATCTCGAATCTCCTTGAGGAGTGGTGTGGAGTCCTGGCTACTGTCCAGCATTCGGATCGAAAGCGTATCTTTGGAAATAAGAAACTGTCGCAACAATTTCTCCAGATTCAAAAGACCTGCAGCAGAAACAGGAAGTAAAACATTTCTATAAGAAACGTTTGCTTCCTGTATCAAAATGAAACATCCTTCTACAATCCTTTCAAAAGGAAGTTTTACCACAAAGGCCCCAAATCAAAGATCTATTCTGTGATCTGGGCTCAATCAATATATTCATTGTTATTCTTACATTCAGCTTTGGCACAGATCAGGCACGCCACACTCCTGTTGAAGAAGGTGAGAATGCTGGTGACAGCATGACTGATGTCCGTGTTACTTGGATGGAGATTCAATGCTGTGAACCTCAAATATTGCCATTTAGGAATTTCTTCAGCAGCAACCTTCACATGAGGGACCTGTATAAGGAGGAAAGAAGCTTGTTAATATCAAATGCTCATTGGATAAACAAATTATATTAATTACAATCCGATTGCTCATCTCTACTGATCCATTATATAGGTTTCACATCAATTAGATTGGAGGCATCCAGCAAAGGAGGATTCTCTCAAATGAATAATCATACGGTGGGTAAAACATTCCCCTTTGTCCAATGGTTCCTAATTCGCAGAAAAAAAACAATATTTATGGAGTGAACTAGTGTGAGGGCTAATGCTATTCTAAATTAACATTCACACTAACAGGTCCTGTTTGTTGTCGGATTGCATGGTTTAATTATTTTTTCCTTAGCTTTGCTCGGCAAGGAAACAGTACTGGAAAGATATTTGGGGAGGACAAATTTGCAAAGCTCTGGGAAGAGCCGGGGGAGTGGGATTGAATTGTACAGCTCTTTGAAAGAGCCGGTACAGGCACAATGGGCCAAATGGCCTCCTTCTGTGATGTATAATTCTATGATTCATTAGCACTTCACACCACCGTTGTAATTTCTTCAGTTCCTCGCATCCAACCATTCCCTTTGCCCTGTAAACCCAATCCTATTACATCTCACCCAGCTAAACCAGTTAGGGATCTGCCCTATGTAAATACCAACTCTGTAAAATTACTTCTACCTAAGGTGGAATTGCAATTTCTGTTTCACTATGGGCAAAAACAGAAAGATAAATGAAAAGCAAATTTTCCATTGCACTTGCAATTGATTCTTTAAAAGTCTTTAATTTGACCCTGCAGGACAAATTAGTTTTTGTCTCCAGTAAAACTGCTAGCCCCAATTCAAACACCAATACATCGTGCAGAAGGTACGCTCATGCTGAAAGCTGAGTGATCAATGATTAATAATCAGCTGTAAATTTATACAATTCTTTTTCCATCTGATTTCAAACAACATTTACTTGCTGGGCATTTGGTCATAGAATTAGATAAAGTGCAGCAAAGCTATTTGGCTAATTAACCTTAAACTGGTGCTCACTCCTTCACCAGAGATAGTTATCGATTGCCTGTCTTTGTTTCATTGCCTTTAATATATTTCCTTATAAAAACATTGTTTTTATTGTTAAAAAATCAACTTTTCCAGGCCAACTGATGCCCATTTTCTTGAATCCATTTTCCTGAATATGTTTTGGATCGCTTGGATTAGTTGTTGCTAATCAACTTCGCGCACATCTCTCCTCCCACTCCCTCTTCGAACCCCTCCAGTCCGGTTTCCGCCCACAGTAGAGACTGCACTTGTGAAAGTCACAAACGATACCTCTCTATCTGTGACCAGGGCTCCCTCTGCCTCCTTGTCCTCCTGGACCTCTCCGTGGTGTTCGACACAGTCGATCACACCATCCTCCTCCACTGCCTTTCCTCCGACATCCATCTCAGTGAGACCGCACTCGCCTGGTTCGAGTCCTACCTCACAAACCGCCAGCAGTACATCTGCACCAACGGCTTCTCCTCTCGCTCTAACGGTCACCTGTGGGCTACCCCAAGGATCCATCCTGGCCCCCTCTTCTTTCTGATCTATATGTTCCCTCTTGGGGATGTCATCCCCAGACATGGGGTGCACTTCCACATGTATGCGGACGACACCCAACTCTAATTTTCCACCTCTCTTTGCGACCCCCCAGTCCCCTTATGTTCTGTCAGCTGCCTGTCAGACCTCAGGGGCTGAATGAGCGCAAATTTCCTTCAGCTGAACATTGACAAGACGGACGCCATACTCTTTGGCTCTCGTCAACGTCTAAAATCTCAAGGCTCTCACCTCCTCCACCTACCCGAGCTCCACCTAAAACTCTCCGAACCCATATGCAACCTAGGCGTCAGCTTCGACCCCCAATTATCCTTCCTCCCCCACATCCGGTCCCTCACCAGCACCACCTTTTTCCACCTCCGACGTATCGCCCGTCTCCGCCAATACCTCTCTCCGAAAGCCGCTGAAACCCTAGTCCATGCCTTTGTCACCTCTCGGCTGGACTACTCTGGAGTCCTGTAGCTCAGTGGTTAGAGCACTCGCTTTGCGAGCGAGAGACCTGAGTTAAATTCCAGGCAGGGAGAAACCTTGGGCAAGTTTCCTTACTCCACACACCTAATAATAATCTCTCCAAAATAAAAAACAATAATAAATTGGTCATTTTCAATCTACGACTGTTTGTGGGACATTGCTGTGCGCAATTGGCTGCCGCGTTCGCCCACAAATATACAGTCAATTCACTTTACAGTATATTCTGTGAAGCGCTTTGAGATGTCTAGAAGACGTGAAAAGCGCTGTACCAAATGCAAGGATTATTATTATTATTGTTATTACTCTAACGCCCTCCTCGCCAGTCTCCCATCCCCTACCTTGGTCATTCAAAACTCTGCTGCCCGCATTCCCACCCGCACCAAACTCCGCTCCCCGATCACCCCAGTCCTGACCAAACTGCACCGGCTGCCTGTCCGAGAGAGGATCGACTTCAAGATCCTCACCCTTGTATTGAAATCCCTCCACCCGTCTGAACCCCCTGACCTCTCTGACCTCCTCTCTCCTCAAAACAGTACCCGTTGCCTTCGTTCCTCCGGGTCTGGCCTCCTCCTCGTCCTCCGAGCCCTCCGCTCCACCCTCGGCGGCCGTGCCTTCAGCCACTATGCCCCGAGGCTCTGGAACTCCCTTCCTCACTCCCTTTGCCTCGCCCCCACTCTTCCTATTTTCAGGTCCCTCCTGAAGACCTTTCTCTTCGACCGCGCCTTTGATCACTTCCCCCCCCTCCCCCTGGCTCGGCCCCGGGATCTGTTACTGTAAAGCGCTCTGAGACGCCGTCCGGTGTGGAGGGCGCTATATAAATCCACGTTGTTGTTGTAGTACGTATCCTGCAACCAACCTAAACCAACTATGGAATCTGGAAATAAAGTCCAGCATCTTTAAACAAGATATGTGTCCCCTTATAAAGTGAACACATGTTATAATGGGAAACAAAAACAGAGTTCGCTGGGAACACTTATAATGGGATGTGTTGTCACCACTCGCAGTCCCTACCTGGGGTTGCCAGAGTCATCATTAACAATACTCAGGGTTATCTGTAGTCAGCAGTTGATGACTCACCACCAATATTTCCAGGGTTGTTAGTATACCATGTATCCAAGTTATATCTGAAGTTGTGATAAATTAAATTGTGCTATAGTGAAGCTGCACTGTAATATACTCAACTAGATTTCTATGTTGAAAACTAATCAGAGGAATTAATCTTGAAAATTCATGAATGCAGCTTTATTATGTGTGTATTTTAGAATATCTAGGACGTAGCAGGAAAGCAGCATTTTTAAAATAATGGAAAGATTTGGAGTGGCTAGAATATAGACTCAAAGCCAATATCTACATAGACAGCTGGCCAGTTAAAAGCTCAATGTTACCTCCTTCTCGCCACAGATATGGCTGATAATAGAAGCAGAGGCTGGACTAGAAGAAGGACCAAGGATTGCAACAACCCCCTTTGGAAGAATCTGACAAGCTGCAGGAGAGAAAGAATTTGATTAAAGTTGGTATAATTTAACAGCATTGCTACTCAATATCTAATCATTACGTAAGATAGGAATTTATTTCACGCTTTTTATGTTAATTTGTTTGATACCAAACATACTTGTAGATTGGTTTCTAATTCATTCTTCTTGCATACTACTCCTTCAAAATCTATCACTACAGAATATCCAGATACGGTTTAGATGAGTTTGTTCCTATGCATTTTCTTGACAATACTGAACTGGTTACATGTTAGCAGATTGGGAGGGACAGAAAGATGCACCGAGGTTTCCTGGTGGTTGGAGAAGCAGCAAGTCAGTGGGAAAGAGATCAGATATATTTGGTTTCATAATGCATATATGTATTTGTGAATTGTGTGCTTATCATGCAATTATAATTATAATTATGTGCAATGGTTCCAAAAATACTTTCACAGGTTGTGCACTTAAGTGTCTGGATCATCAGATCTGCAATAGAATTATCATAAATGCACAACACCATGATCAGGAACTGTACCAAGCAGGAGATATATGGCCCATTTCTTCAAAGTCATCTCAAAAGGTTTTCTTTACAACTAACGTTAAAAGTTAGTAGTCTATAGTTTGAAGGTATTTGTCTTAACCAAAATTTAACAACATCAACTTGCATTTAAATCACAAAGTTGGTTTTGTTGGTAACTTTCCAATCTGTTATTTAAACCATCACTAATATGAATCACTATCACTTTGGATAATGATGTGCAGTGACATTTATTTATTGTTCAGGTTCTGCACATTTTCAGCTTCAAATTGTGGTGAAAGAGTTGTGGGTACATGATCATAAATGTTTTAGGGCCACCTACTGGGTGACATGATTCCACCACACTATACAATTTTGCAGCAAACCTCCACATACATGAAAAAAATCCAATATTTAGCAATAGTGCTCTTGTATTACACTTAACATGAAGTTACCCCAGCCTGCCATCATCAACAGGTTTTCAGCGTATCTGCCCCACTCTCTGGAACTCCCTGAAAAGGAAGAGAGTCCCTCCAACTCTCCTCATTCAAGGTCCATGACAAGAACTACCTCTTATAGTGAGAGATACCAGTGCATGCAATATAAGGAAAATCCACATGCTTGTGAGTTGTGCTTTCATGCAATGACACCTCCTAATATCTGTTGTCAATGTCAAATGAACTCAAGATGATGCAATATTTGATGGTACAGACACAATAAGATACATACTGGTTTCTGCTGTTTCATATTCACTATCTCGCAGCAGCTCAAAAATATCAATTTCTAGTTTTGGGTTGTCAGACAGTTCCAGCAGGCGATTGATATGGTTCTTTGCTAGAGTGATTGCCAGTCGTTCCCCTCTACTGCACTCCATCTGATCATCAAGAATTGCAGCTGTAAAACAATACATCTGTCTCTGTTTGCTTTTAAGGATGATCTTTCAAGAAAAAGAGAATAACAACTAGTGGTTCGCATTAAAGAAAAATACTGAAAATGGAGGCTCATAAAATACAGGTCAAAAGGGTTATGTTTTTCCTCTCTATTGATATTTGCATACATTAACTCTTTGTAAGGGAAGTAAGGCAGCCCATCCAATGCAGCTCTTCATAGGTGCAGTTGAAATGTCTCAATCATTCACCAAAAGTGTAAGCAGTGTACAAGGCAATTCTCCAATCAGTTTCTTTTTTGAATATAAATAATAACAATTCTTGCATTTGATATAGCATCTATATAGATCAGGAAGATGTCTCCAAGCACTTCACGGAATTTACTGTAAAACTTAGTGACTGCGTATTCTATAAATTACAATATATTAGATTTCGCCTAAGTGCCAACATCCTAGCAGTGCACAAGTTGTCGTAAACAATATAATTATGAGGAAGTATAAAATACTGGGAGACAATAAGAAAATAGAAGGAGACAAGGGCCAGACCACAGAAATAACAACCACAACAATGCATTTGAGCCAATTGGAACATCTAGATACTTTTATTTGAAAAAGTAGCACAGAAATGACAAGCGAATGAGATGATAGAGCAGCAGTGACCTTGACACAAGACCTACTTCTGGCAGCCTCTCATCTGCGGTTTCAAAACATAAATTGATAACAATTTTGTCTATGAATCAGAAAGTTGGTTCAAGATCTATGCCTGGGCACTGAATTCACAGTGATGACATGCCAGTGCAGCGATAGGGTAGTGCTGGTTGTTTGAGGTTTGTCCATTGAATGCAATGTTAAAATTGGGTCCTGTTTGCCTGGAGGTTAAAGATCCTATGGTACTATTTGAAAAGAGAAAGTTGCCTTTATATAAGGGTGATTTCTGAGTAAGGATTCATTGGTGTGTGAACCAGACTATCCGGGCTGTTCAAAGATAGTTAACAGAGGATGGTTGCTGAATGGAGGTGGTTGCTTGAACAGGTTTGACTGTTCACATTTTACCATAAAATCCCATGAAGCACTGTGAGACTTCTTTCCAATGTGAAAGCACTATATCAAATGCAAGGATTATTATTTATTATAAATACATTAGTAAGTGCATCACTATCACTATCTCTTGAAAACACAGCAATTCTGGATAAATTCAGTAAAATACATTTCTGCCTAATGATTAATTTATTATTCTTTTCTATTCATTATTTTCCAAAACAACAACTGAACTAAAGTAGACCTACCCATCCGCAGAGAAGGTGACATCTCTGAACCTTTTCTTAAAGATAAGAACAGCAGCAACAGCAACAGCCGCACCATCTTCTGTCTGCCTCATGGAGATTCCTAATCGTTTGACTGCTCCTGCCACCTGTACAGAAAATAAATTACATTTTTTGACAAATTAAGAACTGTTTTTCTATTATTCTTCATTTGAACACTTATAGTATCACAATTGGTTGTGCAATTATCAATTTAGCTAAGTTACTGGCACTCGATTCTTATCAGGACTTGAAATCACATCCCATGCTGACAATCCAGTAATAGTGCAATTACTGAGCACTCATATCTGAGGTGCTGTCATTTGTATGAGACATTTAACAAATCCTGGCCTAACTGTTCAAGTAAAATTTAAAGATGCCAGAATGTTATTCACAAGCAAAACAATGGTCAATATTGTGACACTGGACAAAAAGCTAGAGTAAACTCTGAGGTGTTTTGTTCCTTTTTTTAATTAATAGAATACAATTTTGCTTAAGTCTAGTTAAATTAGCTATAGTTTTAAATTAGCTTTAAATCTAGATAAATTAGGTCTGTAACTCTGTCTGTCCAGCGCCTTGGGATGTCCTACCAATGTGAAAGGCACTTTACAAATGTAATTTTGTTGTTGTTATAGATAGTGGAACACCAAGAATATGTGGAGCATGAAGCAATATATCACTCATTTATGTGTTCACTATTGCCATAAAAATAGGAATATTTTTGGATTGATTAGAAAAATAATAACTTCCTCGAGTTCACCTTAAAAGATGTTCAGATGTTCGATAATTGTGTTTATAATTGGGAAATTGCTGCAATAAAGTGTTGGATTATTATACACTCTACACACCCTCAAAAATACTGCATAATATGTGGATTAGTTTAATGAGATAGTGATAAATCTGTGACATCAGTTTTGCTTAAATTATACTTATTTGTGGAGAAAATGAAGAAAAATACAAGGAAATCTTTGCAGCCGGAACGCTTAAAATGCCAATTCATAACATGGACATGAATTGATATCACTATGTAGATGTGATTAAAATACCTGATAAGAGTATAAATTATATTTCTGCAAAAGCTGCTTCTGAATCTGAAACTCCTTCAGTTACGTTTCCAAACGGATGTGACGATATTCATGGATTTCATTCCGATGTCTGTGTTTGAGTTGTTATTCTGTGCTCTGGTCCCGAGAGGAGAGGGTGACATCACTGTGACCTTCTGCTGAATGTGAAGCTGAAACAGCAAATCAACACCACACAGATTTGGAAGACAAAGGAATATTCTATTAAAAATAAATAAATATCCACTAAGAGACATTATTTTGCCCCTAAATCGTATTTACTGGGGAATGGCGCTCCCTGTGGGGAGGACTCTGTCAACATGGATGATCTTAAGACGGCTTTAAAATAAGAGCAGTGACGATATTAATTTGAGACGATAGTGATAACGGTTGATTTTGACCCCCGAAAAAGACTCAAAGTCACTGCCTCGGTTCCAAAATGGTAAATTAAAATTAAACTCAATTAGTCGGGGAATCGCACAAAAAAACGAAATAACCCAAACAATTGCAGGTAAAGAGGCAAATACACTCACCGGCGGCCTGAGCCGATCCGAGAGGAGGAGAGAGGAGGGGACCCGAGAGGAGGGGACCCGAGAGGAGGGGACCCGAGAGGAGGAGAGCCGAGAGGAGGGGACCCGAGAGGAGGGGACCTGAGAGGAGGGGACCCGAGAGGAGGGGACCTGAGAGGAGACCCTCAGCCACTTGTACAAAACAGGTAATAATCTTAGAGAAGGTTAATGAGAAGCGCCGCTCTCTCCGCTCTGCGCTCTCTACATCTGAATTCAGCAGAAACATAAATTCCTGGAAAAGATCACATTCACAGACGGATCAAAACTATATACTCCGACACCGAAACCCCATAACAAATAACGCGGTGCGGACTGTACCCGCGAGACATCCCCTAAACACACGGACTGTGAACAGTGATTCTGCGCAGTGGGACATCGGCGCTCACAGAGAGATACCACTGACCCCCGAACCCCACAACAGCACTGACCCCCGAACCCCACAACCCCATTGACCCCCAAACCCCACAACAGCACTGACCCCCGAACCCCACAACACCACTGACCCCCTGAACCCCACAACACCACTGACCCCCCAACCCCACAACAGCACTGACCCCCGAACCCCACAACCCCATTGACCCCCTGAACCCCACAACACCACTGACCCCCCAACCCCACAACAGCACTGACCCCCGAACCCCACAACAGCACTGACCTCCGAACCCCACAACACCACTGACCCCCTGAACCCCACAACAGCACTGACCTCCGAACCCCACAACACCACTGACCCCCGAACTCCACAACACCACTGATCCACCCCCACAGCCCCCACCCACAGCCCTGTAGCTCAGTGGTTAGAGCACTCGCTTTGCAAGTGAGAGACCTGAGTTCAATTCCAGGCAGAGGGTGAAACCTTGGGCAAGTTTCCTTACTCCACACAGAGCCTAATAATAATCCCTCCAAAACAAAAACAATAATAAATTGGTTATTTTCAATCCACGACTGTCTGTGGGACATTGCTGTGCGCAATTGGCTGCCGCGTTCGCCCACAAATATACAGTATATTCCGTGAAGTGCTTTGAGACGTCTAGAAGACATGAAAAGCGCTATATCAAGTGCAAGGATTATTATTATTATTATTATTACCTCACCCTGGATGAGCATATTTCTATCCTAGAGTTCAAAGAAACCTGGCTGTCATCCGATGACCCTGTCCCCCTCATCGAAGCCTCCCCCACAACTACACATTCAACACACCCTCCCCCACCCCGCCCCAACCGTCACAACGGTGGGGTGGCCCTCATCTCCCAAACCTCCCTCGGTCTACCCTCTACTCCTTCGGCTGTTTCCCCTCATTTGAGCACCTCACCCTCTATCATCCCCCCTCTTCTACCTCAAGATTCTCCTAGTTTATCGCCCCCCAAACCTCCTGGCTCCTTCCTCAAGGATATCTCCTGCTCCTCTCATCCCTGTCCCTCTGCACTGAACTCTGTTCATCAGGGGTGACTTCAACCTTCACCTCAATGCCTCCTTCCCCATCTCCTCTGACTGCACTGCCCTCCTCTCCACCCTAAGCCTCACCCTCTATATTAATTCCCCCAAACCATCATCCATTACAACAACAACAACAACAAGATTCCATTTATAGAGCGATTTTCACGTCGGGAGGACGTCCCAAAGTGCTGGACAGTTGGGTCAGGACCCGAGCAGGGGGGGAAATGCTCAGGGTGAAGGGAGGGAGCGAGGAAGGGGGGAAATGGTCAGGGTGAGGGGAGGGAAGGGAGGCAGCGAGGAGGGGGGAAATGGTCAGGGTGAGGGGAGGGAAGAGAGGGGGCGAGGAGGGGGTAGAGAGTTGAGAGGGGAGCTGAAGGCACGGTCAAAGAGAAAGGTCTTGAGACCGGCCTTGAAGGAGGAAAGGGAGGAGGCGGTGAAGGCACTGGGGATGGAGTTCCAGAGCCTTGGGGCTGAAGGCCCGGCCACCGATGGTAGGTCGAGTGGGGCTGGGCATGTGGAGCAGACCGGAGCCAGAGGAACGGAGGGTACGGGCAGGTAGATAGGGGGATAGTAGGTCGGAGAGGTAGGAGGGAGCAAGGCCGTGAATGGCCTTGTAGGTGAGGGTGAGGATCTTGAATTCGATCCTCTGGGGGATGGGGAGCCAGTGGAGGCGAGCGAGGGTGGGAGTGATGTGTTCCCGAAGCCTGGTGCGGGACAGTACACGAGCTGCAGAGTTCTGAATGACCTGCAGTGTGGAGGGAGGGCTTGGAAGCCCGGCGGGGAGAGAGTTCCCATAGTCCAGCCTTGAGGTGATAAAGGCGTGGACCAGAGTTTCAGCAGCGTGAGGGGTGAGGTAGTGCCGTAGTCTGGCGATGTTTCGGAGGTGATGGAAGGCGGTGCCAGTTGTGGCGCGGATGTGGGGAAGAAAGGACAACTCAGGGTCGAACAGAACGCCGAAGTTCCTGACCGGCTTTGAGAGGTGGAGAGTGCAGCCTTGGATGCTGATGCTGTCAGCGCCAGAGGTGCGGAGGCGTTGACGTGAGCCAATCAGGAGAGCCTCAGTTTTACGTACGTTGAGCTGAAGAAAGTTGTCTCTCGTCCAGGACTCGATGTCGGACAGACAGCTGTCAGGACATAGGTGTTCGTGGAGTTGAGGGTAGAGGACAAGGGCCTTGAGGTTGAGGTGGGAGGACAAGCGGTGGAGGAGGATAGCGTGGTCGACCGTATCGAATGCTGCCGATAGGTCGAGGAGGACGAGGAGGCAGAGGGAGCCCTGGTCGCAGATGGTCAAGATGTCATTGGTGACCTTGACCAGGGTGGTTTCTGTGCTATGGGCAGCACGGAAACCCGATTGAAGGGGTTCGAATAATGAATGGGTGGAGAGGAAAGAGCGCAGCTGGGAGGCGACAACTCTTTCAAGGACCTTGGACAGGAAGGGAAGGTTGGAGATGGGCCGGAGATTGATAGCTGCGACGCATCAAGGGAGGGTTTTTTCAAAGTGGGAGTGATGATGGCAGTTTTTAAGGGAATGGGAACAGAGCCAGAGGAGAGGGACAGGTTGATGATGTCTGTGATATGTGGGGCAAGGAGGTGGAGCTGGGAGATAAGGAGTGGAGTGGGGATGGGGTCAAGGGAGCAGGTGGTGGGTTTCAGGGATAGGATGAGTTTGGTGACAGAGGGTGGGGAAACGGGTACGAAGGTGTGCAGGGGGAGATGGGAAGGAATCGGAGTGTGGGAGGGAGGGGGTGGGGGGTGGGTGGGTGGAAGTTGGAGGGGGAGTGACCGCGGAGCGGATTCCCTTGATTTTGGATTCAAGGAAATCCAGCATCTCCTCGCAGTGAAGGTTGGAGGAGATGACCTGCGCGGGGTGGCCGGGGGGACGGAGGAGTCGGGATGTGGTAGAAAACAGAAGCCTGGGGTTGTTCTTCGCCTCCAGGATTATCCTGGAGTAGAAGGACGACTTGGCCGAGGCTAGAGTGGAGCGGTAGATTTTGAGGAGGTCCAGCCAGATTTGTCGGTGGACCGTTAGGCCAGATTTGAGGCAGGTGCGTTCAGCGGCCCGCACCTGGCTTTTCAGTGAGCGGAGGTGGGTGGTGAACCAGGGGGAGGAGCGAGAGTAGGAGACAGTTCGGGAGGTGATGGGGGCAAGAGTGTCGAGTGTGGAGGAGAGGGTGTTGTGGAGGAGGGTGAGAGGAGAAGAGGGGTCAGTGAGGGTTGAAGGCCAGAGGGAGAGGAGTTCAGAGGACTCCAAGGCAGTGGTTAGGGATTGTGGGGGTAACTTCTTCCAGGGGCGGAAGAAGAAGGTGGTAGGTCTGGTGGAGGTGGGTAGGAGGGTGGAGGTGGTGAAGGAGATGAAGTAGTGATAGGAGACGGTCTTGTCGCTAATGGTGACATCCGAGACACTGAGGACCCGGGTGAGTACCAAATCAATTGTGTGGCCGTGACGGTGAGAGTGGGAGTTGATGTGGAGGGAGAGGTTGAGCGAGGAGAGCAGGGAAGAGAAGTCCGAGGAGATGGAGCAGGAGGTGGTGAAGTGCAGGTTGAAGTCGGCCAGGATGATGAGGCGATCAGCGAAGAGGCAGAGATGTAAGTAATGTAGAAATATCGAAGATGAAGATGGGAGAGGGGTTAGGAGGCCGGGAGAGTAGGAGGATTTTGAGTGAGAGGAAGGAGGGGTGGGAGAGGGTGAGGTGCTCAAAAGAGGGGAAAGAGCCAGAGGAGTAGGGGGATAGGGCAAGTGGTGTCCTTGAGATAAGGGCTACACCACCGCCACAGCGGTTGGGGCGAGGGATGTGGTGGGAGGTGTAGCCGGGTGGTGTGGCCTCCGTGAGGGGGAAGGTGTCGCCTGGGGTGAGCCAGGTTTCCGTTAAGGCCATGATGTCAACGCTCTCATCAAGGATGAGATCGTTGATGACCAGGGCCTTGTTACAGAGGGAGCGGACGTTTTGTAGTCCGATGTGGAGGGAGCGGTTGACAGAAGGGTGTGTGGGGAGGGAGGGGGTCCAGGTTGTGAGGCAGGGGTGGGGGGAAGGGGGATGAGGGAGGAGAGGTTGGCTCCCCGGGTCTGTGTCCGGGGTGGCTGGCGAGTGTGGTGGGGAATGGGGCAGTCGTTGTGGTTGCTGCTGGACAGCCAACGCCGAGTGCCACGGTGAACCCGGCGGAGGATTCCCAGGCTGGTTGTGGGAGGGTCAAGTGGGGATAGAAGGCGAGAGAGACGGAGAGAGAGGAGGACAGAGCGAGAGAGATGCAGAGTGGGGAGGGTTTGGGGGGAGAGAGGAGGGGGGAGGGAGGGAGGGGGCGAGGGTCAGAGCGGCAGCCATAATGCGCACGCGGGGACCGGGAGCGAGCGGTCAGGTGGATGGCATTAGCCCATAGGCTGGGGCTGGGGCAGCCAACCCAACAGGACCATGGTGGGCCCTGATGCGAGCCCCGGTGGTGGGGGGGGGGGGGCGGCGCAGAGGTTATTTTTTGTTGCGCGCGCACACTCGTGAAACTAAACTATGACGTCAGCGGTTCCCCCGCGCCGCCCCCACAGACCCCACCCCTTCCCCCCCCCCGAGCTGCACTCCCTGCCGCCTCGTGCTTTAGTACCTGTGAAGGTAGGCCCAGGCTCCTCTCCGCGGTGTCCTGCCGCCGCTCCCCGTGTGGCTGCACTCCCTGCCGCCTCGTGCTTTAGTACCTGAGAAGGTACCTAGATAGCTCTGGTATG